GTGAGTGAGTGAGTGATAAAGTAAATTTTCTTTAATAATGAGTTAAGAAATAATATTTACTTATTAGACAGATTTATGCAGGGACATTTATTATGGTAGAACAATAAACTTATAAAAAAAAACAAAAAACATTGAAATAAACTTGAATCTACATACTTACTGATGTTTACAATTTACTTAAGAATAAAAAAATTCATACTAGTAAAAAATTTGCAAATAAATTCATGTAAATTGGAAAGACAATTATTCTCCTTTAATGTTAATTAAATTTTGAATGGTAGTTATGTACATACCAAAGTAACTGTTTGAATATAAAACATATATTGCACTTTAAGTAGCTTCAAAGCTCACACATACATACATCTATTCGCTTGGAAGAATTAAAACATGATATCATGGATGGACAATCACATTCTAAGTATAAATGCTTGCTCATTTTAAAGTAGGAATTATTATAATTTATAAGAGAAATACACTGTCTGGTAATCTTCTGACAAAGTCCATGAACAGTAAACAAAATAATAACGCGACTTACCCGTAGAGGTACAAAAAGAAGGACAGCAAATAAAATGCAAGTTTGATCCAACCTTCTCTTTGGCAAACTGTCAATACATCGGCATTCATAATGCTCGTGGGGTCATATAGGCCTGGCCCCGACATTACTGGCCGATTTCGATATCTGTAAACGTGCCAAAATCTAACATACGAACCTTGTAATTAATTCTCTGGGAGTTCCTTAACAATCACAACATAACCTTACCTGTGTATGTGGTACAATATCAAAGGCAAGTTGATTATCAATGCAAACCATTCTCCGGATAATAAGAAAAGTAAATTTATGAATAGATGCAGCAAATACTCCGGTAAAACCAACTGAAATAGAAAAAATAAGTCAAAACTTTTGAGCTTAAAACCGCTACACTTAAAGGTGAAATACTCACAGGATTAAGACTGTTACATTGATCTATTGGATTTTTATAATCTGTTTTGAGTTCATCGAATGCTATTACGTGAAATATTGAGAAAAATATAAGAAATGCATCGACAATCAGGGCAATAATATACGAAAACGCGGGGAAGCTGAACGCCATTTTGCCAAAATTTATTTGACAATGACAATCAGATGATATGACAGTTTTGTTTTCCTTTCAATAACTTATTGTGGCTCAACCGTGGGGGACTTTACAATTATTTTTAACTACAACACCACTATTCTAAGATTACTGAATTAACCGAGCTTTGTAAACAGTATTCTTTTTTGACAAATGACAGCTCTCCAGCTCATAATGTGGCTAACTTACCAAATTGAAAAGGCACCTCGAAGAAAGAGGGAATTTTGTGGCAACTGCATTTTATTCCTACAATATATATTGCAACAGTGTCGCCATTATTCTAACCGACATTGAATTGGCAAGTTTTCACTTATTTTCGTAGCATTATATCGAAATTTCAGCTTGTTGGGGTTTCATGGATTGTAATTATTTTCATTACGTATTATGAACGTGTAAATAAAAAAAATATGAAGTGTACGTGGTTTGTAGTTTTATGTGCAATCGGAATTGCACTGTGTATAGACCATGATTTCAAGGGATTTGACGATAGCATTTTGTTTGGTATAAATTGGCCAGGTGCTCCTGATATTCTTGAGAATTTGGCAGATGGAGAGAGCAATCCAGACTCGGTAAGTGTGGACCATTATTAAATAATTTGCTAATAATTAAAAAAAATGAAAATACGAATCCTTAAATAAAGGCTATTTTGACATGGTTTCCTCTAATGCTTCTACTTGTTTCTACAGAATATAGAGATTCTAAAAGTCACAACAATAAATAAAGAGCAATATGAGTGTAAAATACCCGAAATTCGAATGAAAAAGGATATAAACATTAAAGACTATAATGGGCCCTCTCCATTGAATTTGTTGAAACCTCTTTTCACTCAGAAGATATGTTCATATAGGCTGGAAAGCTTCTGGAGCTATGAAGTGTGTCATGGGCGGTATATCAGGCAGTATCATGAAGATAGGGATGGTAAGATATCAAACTGATCTCAACGTTAAATAAAACGTTAAAATTGGTGTATGTGGTGCATACTTGATTGCTTTAAATGTTTTAGTAGAGCAGTAGAGCTTGTGAAACAGTTCATCCTGAGCAGTATTGCCACCTTAATTAATGCAGCCGCCAAACAGTAATGTGAGCTTTACTGCATTTTGATTTTGAAGGGTAAGGTACTGGTGAAACTAGAGGCACCTGGGACTTTACAACTTATGTCTTAGGGTGATGGGTGTAGTAGCAGTGCAACAGACAGGCATGTCACTTACCACCAGGTGCACATGTTAGTCCTGTCACTTGGTATCATAAAACCGAGAAAGGTATCATATTTTTGCAAAAAAAGATAGTCAAACCTCAGAAGTGACCTATTCCCAGTAGTGCGGCATATATGGGGTGAAATCAAACAACTTTTATTTTATTCTAATTTGATGTAATTTGTACAGTTACAGTAGTTTTACCTAGCACTTGTAATAAAGTTGGTGGCTCTTTCAATTGCCGCATTGTGGTATAGCAATATGATAAGTGCTACTAGCAAAATCACCTTTATACTTTATTTTACACATTGATGTACATTTAACAAGCAACACTGGGTTCATTCACAGGAAAGATTGTTAGAACACAAGAATATTATTTAGGCTATTGGAACCAAGAGAAACAAGCTAAGTTGGAAGCCCAATTAGATGCTGTGGACGAAGAGAAACAAGCTCCCTATTCTCGTCCAGCTTTAATCAGATCTACAAAGAATAAAAAATCAAATAAAATAGATGAAGATGATGATGGTAATAGAATGGCTAAAGTTGAAGGGTTCTCATTACCTTTTGTAGAACTGGTCATGGATGATGGTAAGAAACAATAGTTTCGTTTGTAAGGATTTTCTACTAGTTCTGTATAATCAAGTCATTCTTGGAAAATTAATGTCTTGCACTAAACTTAAGGCCTTCTCAAACCACTAATTAAATTGATAAGACACTCATTTACATAATGTATTAATAGTGTCTTTTACATTGCAAGCATTGGCTTAAGACATACTTAAGTTTAGTGCAAGCGGATATGCTTGCACTAAAAATGAAATAACAGCATGTAATATAACTCAGTTGTATTTTTTTTTCTTTCACAATGACTGATTTAATCTTCTTTCACTGAATTTAAAACAAAATAAAATATGATAAGAATAATTTCAATGAAATGCCTGAAGAAAAATTATAAACTGTTCAACAATAATCTAATTTATTACTTGTTAATGAATGTTAAATGTCCATACTTATATGTTATACTCGCTTAAGTGTTTTGACGCTGATTCGGGTCAGTATTTACCGGACGCAAGTGTCCCGCACGTCTCACACACCACGCAATTGCGTGACGTTGACTAATTAGTCAACCTATTCGATCACTGAGCTTAACAACTGTTAAACTGTGTGTTTGTTGAACTGGCTACCATGAAGTCTGTACCCCAAAAACATTCCTTCCCCAACTTCGGGACTGGACATTCCTAGGCCACATACACTAAATATGGCCAGTACAACCCAATGGTTTACAGTAATAGAATTGGTGAAATAGAGTATGTCATCAAAAACATGTCAGTAAACGGAGTGTACCCCCAAGGGAACACGTTCTGAAATAAAGAGAAAGGTATAAGTTTTACATATGTATAGCACTTTTCTGTGAGCTGTAAACTAGTTACACAACATAAAATAATTGTATAGTTCTTTAAGACATATTGCATTACGTATACACCCATTTGCAGACATAACTGTAACAAAAATGAAAAACAATAGAGAACTTTCTATTCTATATTTTGAAAAGAAGGGAAATAAGCATTCTACATAGAAAACTAGGGTTCCCCAATATTCCCTAATATTATGTAAATTATACATTGTATACATAATATCCAAAGCTTATCTTTTTGATGTTAAGTTTTCCTGTAGTCTAGCTGAGGTATAGCTCTATCAGTTTTGTTGCCAACTTCATAAATACTAACACATGGGGATGTTTTTAATTGATATAAATGGCTATTCACTTATTTTCATTGCACCATAACAATATTCATAACTTTAACTAAGAAAATAATTGTATCTACTTTATGAAACATCATAGTAAGTGTTTTACGTTTTTAAGTAAATATTGATAGTGATATGGTCATAGGATTGATCTACCGTTTTTAATTATCACAACTAATAGTTTACATATTAATTAAATATTCATAATGCTTATTTACATAGATCAAACTATAATTATTGTTATTACGCAACAGTTACGTCAATTTAAAAAATTAAATGCTTGGAAGAGTATATTAAATCTCCATTTACCTAGAGCTATTCAATGATAACTATCTAGGTATCTATAAAAATAGAAAGTCACTATATTAAATAGATGGCCATATATATATATATGGCCATCTATTATATATCTATATATATATATATATATATATATATATATATGACCATATATATATAGAATGTAAAACACCAGGGTAACCTATCACAAACTTGAATTTTTTTTCCGAAATAACATTTGTTCGAATTTTCATTACATCGAAACCTGAATGATAACGAAACCCTTTTTCTTTATATATAATATAAAGTAAGATATGTTGGATGTTTATCGCAAAGACACGATTAGGTTAGGTTAAGTTAGGTTTAAAAGAAAAAACATTTTCCACTCAAAATTACTTTCGAGGTTATGAATATTCGAGCAAACGTTATTTCTGGAAAATGTCATTTCGGACTACTGATGGGTAACCAATACTAGACATTCGAATAAGGCTATGCTTGCTCTGGTAATTGGTAATTCCAATAATATTTATTGGAATTTCTCTGTTTGAGACCAGGAAATAGGCGTAATTGTCTGATATATTATATAAACTGGAAAATACTAATCAACTTTTGCTATGAGACTATCCCCCTTAATTCGAGAAAAAGGCTTGCTCTGATAATTGGTATTTCCAATAATATTTATTGGAATTTCCCTGTTTGAGACCAGGAAATAGGTGTAATTGTCTGATACATTATATTATATAAACTGAAAAAAACTTATCAACTTTTGCTATGAGGCTATCCCCCTTAAATCGAGAAAAAGGAATCTAAATGCATGAAAATTTTGTATTAATATGGTTTTTTGACATATTTCAGGCACAATATGCGACTTAAGTGGCAAACCTCGAGTAACAAGAGTACAATATGTTTGCTACAGTCCTGGAAAACATGAGGTATACTCTTTCAAAGAAACTTCGACTTGTGAATATGAAATTATTATTCTGTCGCCATTACTTTGTGAACACCCAGCATTTAAACCTAATGATGTACGCGAGAATGCTATAGATTGTTTGCCAGTGGGTGATGCCCCGAAGAAACCAAGAAGTTTGCTTAAAATGGAAGTAGAAAATTTACGGTCCCTTTATCAGAGCATACGACTAATAAACAATGTGAGTATGCTACAATATGTACTGTGTTGAGAGTGATATTAAGTTATCGTGTGGTCTTATTGCATTTTTAATACAGTTTTTTGAGGGCTTGTTTTACAATCTAATCACAAATTTTCACGACTAGACACTCTATCTACTGTGTTACTGATGTACTGTAATATGTGCTTAAATTCTATTTTTTACTGCCAATTGTGCTACTATACAATAACTGACTAAGGGGTGTACTGTACTTTTTATATTAAGAAAATTAGGACAGTTCTTACAGACTCGTTTACTAGCACGCATGTACCTATATATACACGTACATAGGCGCTCACCTTTTTTTTTTTTTCACCTACGCAAGCACGCTCGCTCGCAAGCATGCACTCACATAAGAACGAATAGTCGCAACGAACCAACACGCTCGCACGCACTCATAAGCTTACACGCATCCACTGCTGGATATAAGCCTCCCCTTGCATAAATGCACACAAATTAGCACAAACATTCGATCACTCACTTTACTATTTTACCTAGTATTATTTAAATTTATGTTACGGGTATAATACTGACTTAATGATCATTAAATATGCCATAACTTCCCATATATTTACTTGTTTATATGATGCAATATATAACTATTATTGATCTATGTTATCATAAACTTGATACAGAATTATTAGCTTTATTGGTAAGTATAAACTAGATATTAAAATATCTAAAATGCATATTTATGAACTCATTACTAATATATTTATTCTTCTTCTTGGGGTGCCATCTCCTATCAAAGGTCGGCTATTATTGTGGCAATTTGAGTCCGTGAAGTTGCGGCTCGGAATAGTTCTGTGGTGCTTATGTTGAACCACTCTGCAAAATTTTAAAGTTATGTGGTTTTTCTACGACCACATCTTCTGCGGCCCTGAATTTTTACCTGCAGAATGAGCCGCAGTAGGGAGTATTTATTAATCCGCATGATGTGCCCAAAGTACTGCAGCTTCCTCGTATTTACTGTTTAGGAACTCCAAGCCTTTGTGTGTCTTCCGCAATACGTTGTCATTGATGACTATGATGGTGGTGGAGGAGGGTGATAAACCCACATTTCGAAGGCTTCTAACCGTTTACATAATGTCTTGGTGTCCATGCTTCTACTCCGTACAAAAAAATTCAAAATATGTAGCACCGCACTAAACGGCATCTTGTCGAGTTTGAGACTACGATTGCTCTATGCGACTTCTAACTTCTGTGCTATGGTCTTCCTGGTCGTTTACCATACAGCCAAGGTATTTAAAAGAACGGATCCTGTGGTTGATTCTTAGCGTGGAGGACAGCCAACGTCTGCGGAGCTCGGCCGATAATCATATACTTAGTCTTTTTGACGTTAATATTCAGACCGTTCTGTGCGCTGATCGGGTCTACACGATTGAGCAGTTGCTGTAGATCTTCCATTGTGGCAAGGAGAATCGTGTCGTCGGCATATCGGATGTTATTGATGCGACGCCCGTTTATAACAATCCCTTCGGTTGCGTCTTCAAGAGCTTCTGAAAAAATCTCCTCCGCGTAAACGTTGAAAAGCAACGTTGATAATATACGTCCTTGCCTCACTTCTCGTAGTATCTCCACATCATTTGTGAGCTCTACGCGTACATTTGCTATCTGTTGCCAGTAAAGATTTTTATCACTAAGATGTCTTTAGAATCTAGGCCTATCCTACAGATCTTGGAAACAAGATCGGTATCAACTTGTCATGTTTCACATAATCAAATACTTTTTCATAGTCGATGAAATTGATGTAAGCGCATCGACACACGTCCCAACAGCGTTGCACAAGTATTTTGTGTGCGTCGCGTGTTCCATTGCCATTTCTAAAACCGAACTGTGTCTCTGAAATGCTATCTTCACACTTCCGGTATATTCTTTTATGAATAACCTTGAGAAACACCTTGAGGACGTGGCTCATTTGGTGCGGTACTCAATACAACGTCTTGCGGTGCTGATTTTTGGCAAAGCTATAAAGTTAGAGTGGAGCCATTCTGAAGGGATAATACCAGATTTATAAATTTAACTGAAGAAGTGTACAACAATATCTAGGTGTTCATACTCTAATAATTTTAGCGTTTCGACGGGAACTTCATCTGGTCCAACTGCTTTCCCGCTTTTCGCGTGGGAAATTTCATCCTTTGTAATAGGTGGTCCAGTCTGTTGTACACATAATATGTACTCGTTACTCGAACGTTGATCGTGAAATAACTCTTCAATGTATTCCTTCCATATCCTTATTCGGTCCTCAATTGTCATGGCATATCTATCGTCTTTATCTAGTAGAGTGGTAGCGAGTGGTCTTTTTTTTGCCATATTAATTCATTGAGTTTCTTGTGCGTATTGAAGGAATCTTGCTTGGCATGTAATACCTCTATCTCTGAACATTTGTCATTAATCCATAGATCTTTGGCCTTGATCCATTTTCTTATCACTTCTTTGTGAATCTCCTTGTATTTTTCAGGATCCTAGTGGTTTGCCAGTCGTCTCTGAGTCTGGACCTACTGTCCATAATTTGACCCGTTATCCATTCGGGTCAAAATATAAAATACAATACCTTATGTGACTATGTAATAAACTGTTTTAAATGAATTGAATTACTATTATTTGCTTTTTACGTGCAAGTTTTAGAGCTTATTTATCTATTATTAAACCTACAGATTTTAGATATTGACACAATTTTTCATTATCAACGTTCTTTAGAATTCACTAAATATCATTCAAATCAACGAAACTGGAATTTTCTATGACATTGTGCGCAAATACATTCATTTCGAAAACTTATAGAGCAAAGGCTTCTTGTAGTCGATTTAAAAAAAGGCCATTTAAGTACTTACTACTTATCGAATTGGTGTACCCATTACTGGGAAACTAACTTCTATAAATTAGGTTTCGTCATGATGTTCTGCGTAGTGCTCCGAAATTTATTTTGTGGCTTTGGTAGTCATATAGTGAGTTCCCTGAGTCTGATCTGGGAGACCAGATCATTGGTGCGATAGCACATTATTATTGTTATTGATGATGATCTTAAGATAATCACTGCTACTAACAATTCTTTCATGTTTCTTGAGTTTCGACATACAGTATGTTAGTTAATTGACTGCAAAACTTTTAAAGGGTGTTGGGTATCGCAGAATTTGTTAAGAAAAAATAAATTAAATTAAAAAAAGCCAACTTTCCTTGCAAGGCAATCACTCAATGAAACAATAATGTAAATATTTTTATTATGTAATAATTTTTACATGGGTCTATAAAAGAAATATGCACTAAATATGTTTATCTTTATATATGTATATGTTTATCGTCGCTTAACATCAGGTGAGATTGTGACCAAGCGTGTGTCTATTATATATAAAAAGAAAAATTCTAAACAGCTGATCTAGTTAAAGATAGAAAATGTCTGTCTATAAGGCTGTCCCCTGGCGCATCTTGCCCAAGTTGCTGGCAACTTTTCCCCATGGGTGTGGAATATTTTTTTTTTAATTTATAACATTTTCAACCTAGACCGTTATATTACAAAACTCGCACTGTGCAACCGCAAGTGCAGGTATATATTTTATGGTAATTCGAGACTCCAACTGCATGGATCAATACATTATTTTTTGAAAACATTTGAGTATTCGGAGATATATCCCAATTTCACTTTTTCTCCATACAAAAAAAAATTCCGTGCCATATAACTATAAAATGACTGTGTCAATCGAAAATATCCACATGTCAGTTTATGATTGTATTGGTGAGTAAAATCAATATCCATCATCATATTTATAAAAGGAGTTGTTTAATTTTCAAGTACCCCTAAGTCCACTAGCGATCAATTTCAGCCCACTGTGTGCTGCTGCGCCTATCACCCGGAGACATAAGTTGACAAGTCCCATGTGCCTGTAATTTCACCAGCCCCTTTACCCTTTAAAACCGGAATGCAGTAACTGCTATGTAGACATTTATTTACTCATTTGGAACACCCTATGCCGACTTACTTATGACAGTTGACTCTTTCCTGCACTGGTTTGCAGCCAACCCCGTATTTCATGTAATAATATTAAATTGTAAAACAAGTCTAGCCATTTGCCCACGTGTTTGTGATACCAGCCGGTGAACCTTGGTAATTAGAGTAGACCTAGCTAGAAATAGTCGCTTATTAACATTTCTGTTGGCATGTTGTCTAGGAAAAGGACTCTAAGGATATTCTGGCAGTATTGAAAGTTGAGAAAATTGATAAGGTATTTATTTTTTTACTTTGCTTCTTATATTTACTATTTTATTTGTTGTTTTATATTCGTTGGCTTTCTTGAATAGCGGCATATTTTGAAAGCGTCTAAATCAGGCGCAAACTTGTCATGATTGTTTTAACCAATGAAAAGTTCACTGTCATATTCATAATAAAATTTAGAACGTTCTGAATACGGCTGTATAATAATAAAAAAAAGCTATTTTGGTTTAAGTCGCTATTTTTGAAAGGCAGGGAGTATGTTGTGTTTGCTCAATGTATGTGTTTTCAGTTTGTTTAAATTTTAATATTTTAAAATTGTTTCTTTTAAAATTTGTCCTTCTTTTGATTCTTCTTTGATTTTTCTGTGTCTTTCTTATGACTAGTTAACAGAGAGTGTTGAAACGTTGGGCATTGTTTTGGGTATTAAGGTAACTTAAGACATTATTTGAAGCGTGTTTTATTTAATTGGATGTATTTTTAACAGGTCACTTTCAGTTTTGAGGTGCGTTTTAATAACATTATAATTATAATAAAATTTATCCTCAGCGCGAAAAAACCACAATTAAAGTTTTTATTGTAGTCATTATAATTATAACGCACGTTAAACTCAATAAGTACTGTCGTAACTCAAAATCATAAGTCATTTCTTGAACTTTTATATAGTGTTCTCTCAGCTCTGGCCTACCATTTCTGAGTTACGACAGTATTTGGTTTATGTGCATTATTATATAATTATGATAATCGCAAAGCTAGGTAGGAATAACATGCACCCTACAAAACAATGATAAAAAATATTTAGTACAAAAGCGTCGTAAAACAAATATACAAAAATTGCATGACAATTTAATTCATGTTATGTTATTTTGATCAAAATAAGCACTAAGAAATCCAATAATGAAAGAGACACGTGGCCAACAGCTGAAGAGGACGTATGTGGGTACAGGAACGTTTGATGCGAGTTGAGTTTAATTAGTAGCTATTGACAATTACGTTTTTATAAAAAAAAAACGCTTTTTTATAAAAAAGACCGACCTCTAAAGTTCGTGTAATTACATCTATTTGCCAAATTTTATTGAAATCGGTGACCGAACTTTCCGGTATAAACCGAAACTTTCCGGCAATCGATTTCAATAAAACTACACTTGCGGAAACCGGATTCATCACCTAGTTTGCTACCCTTAGAGGTGGAATATTTTCTTCAAATTTAAATGGGACCAATACTGACGTATCCTCTTTCCAACAAAAAGAGAATCATTAAAATCGGTTTGCAAATGCCAGAGTAATCGCGTAACATACACAAAAAAAAAAATACTGTCCAATAAAAGAAGACTTCAAAAAAGGAGGAGGTTCCAAATTCGATCGATTCGATTTTGATGATTCTCTTTTTGTTGAAAAGAGGGTCCTCAGTATTGGTCCTAATTAAATTTGAAAAAAAAAAAAACCACTTCTAAGGTGGCAAACTAGGGGATGAATTCTGTTTCGCGCACTTTCTAGTAATCAATTTCAATAAAACTTGACAAATAAATGTAATTAATTCCACATCTTTTGAAGTCGTTTTTTTTTTATTAAAAAGTAATTCAAGAAAAATATTATTGACATTATTTTATTCGGTGCAAGAATTATACAATATAAGGATGTTAATACCATAAATTGACTTTACCTGTGGATGAGTGTCTAAAGAATCCCGTAACTATTTGATTCGTGCAACTGATTATTGCCTTGACAGATGCAATTAAACAGTAAACTGAAAATCGCTGTTGAGACAAATATTTTCAAACAATAATATCATAAACACTTTTAGGATGGCGAAACTCACTTGAAATTCGAGCTACATCCCATAGGCGATGAATCGGAGGATCATATGTTTGAAGATCCTAAAAATAAGGTCTTAATTGACAAGCCCCCGACTGCAGTTACCGATGATTCGCCTGTGCGCGCGTTCTTGAACGGAGAAGATTGTTTAAATGGGGTAAGTATTGAACGCGTGCATTGATAGAGGTAGTGTGGAAAACTTTATACAGAGCGTCTCACGGAATGTACTTAAAATATTGTAGACAGAGTATTTTGCTTCAAGGAAAATTTGCACCATCCAGGAGCGGTATTCTGTAATCGCTATCGTTATGATTCGGTATGGCGCTGATAGCGAAAGTCGTCGGTTGCCGCATCGACAACTTACCGATATGCTATTCTGTGAGTCCACGATAACGAAAATCGTTACTGCAACAGACGCGTACCGACAGCGATGTGACGTCAGCGTTTCATTATCGAACAAAAAAAGACGAAATGGGAACATCCCGACGGGAGGCTATGTTTCTCGACCAATCACGATCGAGCGTTCAAATAGTTATTTACAAACACTCTTATCTATGGTTATTTAGTTTGTTCAAAGTTTGTGACATTCATGGGAAATGTACTGTTTAAACTGTACTGTACTGTGTTTGTACTGTGTAAAACCGCATAACGAATATCGAATAGCGAGTCTCAGCGATTACAGAATACCGCTCCAGGTCTGATTCCCGGGTCGGGAGAAACATCTGTATGGCCATGTGTCCATGGTACCCGCGATAGTTTCCCTAATGCGGAGCTATGCGTGTGTACGTTAAAAAATATTTTTAAAAGTAAGTTATATTGCATTCAAAGACTTTTAAAAAATTGCTTGTCTCATCAATCGGAAAAAAGTTATTTATTCCTTATAAGTAACCACAGATATATATCTAGATAGACGCCGCAAGTATAGCAATTTGTATGAAAACCAAGCGTGCCACATTTTTGTACCTACTATGACGTCACAAGAGCTATTTAGTGATGGAAACCTCCTTCCGCTCGCTCTAAATCGATTGATTGACCGGAATACGTTTACGTGTTTTCACTTTCTTCACTGTATTCAAGCCTTCAATTAATCGATTCTAAATATAATAATTTTTGTTCAAGTATTTGTTGATTACAAGTAGTCGTAATAATAATATAGTAGAAAAATACTAGAATAAGATAGTTAAGTCCTTTATTATACTTGTTTTTAAAAAATGTTGATTACTTAAAAAAATTAAGACTAGTTTTTCATCGACGTCAAATATTGAAATTATTGTCCTTCCAATAAAATGAGCTTATTATACAACATCTTTTTGTAATAGAAGATCTTATCGATTAACTTAAATAGTGAATACGCAGGTCAATACTTGCGACTGCCTTAATTAATTTTACTAGATGGTTTTCTGTTGGTAATTGATCAAATTGATGAATGCCAAGACAAATGAAAATGTTACTGCTGACAAAATACGGTAAAATCTTATTAATCAGAAGAGGTTTACTTAATGACGGCCTTGTGTGAAATTTTTGTGATTTGTTTATTATTTCTGGGATTTCTAACTCTGCTACTCTGCATATTTGGATAGCATCTTAGGTGGAATAAACTAGACCTTCGTCCTCGAAAGCTACGAACTCATACCTATGATTAACTCCAGGTTTTTGTAAAGACAGCGCACTGTTTTACACAAAGAATTCACAAAGAATTGTCTTTGCATTATATATTTTTTTGTATTACTCGTACTACATATCCGGCGATATATGTAATTATTTGCTCACTATATTCGGACATTCGAGGCAACGTGCTGCAAAAATGATCGAAATTACAGATACTACTGATAATAGATACTACAAAACTGAAAAAAAAAACCAAACTTACTAAACGTTATAGTAAAAGAGTTATAGAATATTTTTATAATATTGCGAAGGTCATAATAATTTTCGTCCCTTTGTTTTCAAAATCGATCAGAATTGAGAACAGTGTTGCTTAACGTATACATCACTAAATGTTAAATTTGGCCAAAGAAATGTACAAGCGGACGTACCACGAAACTCAATGCAATATACAAAAGTGCGTTCATTCGATATTCATGGCGTATTAACAAAGGATCACAAATATGTCGCACCAAGCAAAAGCCGCAATGTATTATCAAAACATGAGGCATACACTCGGTTGCATATTTGTTTTCTTGAAATTCATACAAAGACAAAGTAATTGTTTTTAAAATAAATTATGCATCTTCTGATTACAAAATTACTTGTCCGTGGAAGGAAACGTCCCTGTTTACCCGTTTACCCACAGTTATGGTGCTTTTGCAGTTTATAATGGCACAATTATGCATTTTTCGCGTTTATGACTGGTGTCTATCTATGACAACGGTTGAGCGCAAGTAGCAGCGGCAAGTAAGTGAATTTCACTTACTTTGGGCACGCGAAGTACGTACACTTGCGGCGTCTATCTAGATATAATTATGTCTGTGTAAGTAACATATTATCTTTTTTGTTTAATTAAAATAATGTTTAAATGAAACAAAATATCGTATCTACAATATTTTAAGGACTTTCCCTCCATGCCCCATAGCCGTGAGACGTTCTGTATAGAATATTAAGAGAATTTTAAGAAATGCTTAGAACTTTGATGTTGTGAACTATTTATGGAATTTTCCAATAACAACATTCCAAGTGGTATTTATGACAGAAAATAAGCAAATAAAATCGAACTTCATTTTCCGTGTCGTTAATAATTTCGCCGCCTAACACGAATGGAAGTAATTTGAATTTTTTCATAAATAAACTTATTTACGTTGTTCAAGTCATAATGTCATAATTAATGTTGTGATAACAATTTTCGTAAAAAAATATAAATTGCGTTCATGTATCTAACAATATATCACACACAGTCTCAAACAAAGTCCACATGCGTTTATCACGGACTCATCACCTGTTTGCTATTAACAAATGTCGTAGCAAACGAGATAGCGACTAATTTTCTTCGTATAATCTTTAAACGTCTCTTCTGAAGTGATCATTTTGCAAATGTGGCCTTATTACACTGAGGGTGCGAATTTATTGCTATTGACAAGAGAACCAAGTTTCAAAAAGATTATTTTACTCTTTAGTTCACTATTGAATTCAGTTGAGCGATATATCGCCCCTCCTACGTAAAGTATCGTATGTCGAAATTGCCAAGTTTACAGGGGAGCGCTTTAAAGTTCTGAATTCACTGAAAGAGTGATCATCTAATAGATCATCTAACCGATATCTAAGATTTTATAATACTCTGTGTGAGTAACGAGCTTTGCGGAATAAAACTGAGAAATGCTAAAATCACGTGGTATGCTTATTTCAGAGTATTCAAAACTTTAAAACGCTCCCCTGTAAACTTGGCAATTTTGACATACGATACTTTATGTAGGAAGGGTCGAATTATAACTAAGCGATAAGAACAGTGCTAACGTAAAATATTTTTTTACCAGGGCACCGGTTGGTGGAAATATGAGTTCTGCTACGGTAAACACGTAATTCAGTACCACGTGGACAGAGCTGGAGGTAAAACTACGTTGTTGCTCGGCAGATTCAGCGAAGAAGCTCACTTAGAATGGATCAAAGAACATAAATCTAAAGCACCGAAACCTATTGGTATGTATTAAGGGGTATTGGTGTAATAGTAAATTAGAATAAATTAAGTTGGTATTGTGCCACCAAGTTTAAAAATGCAATAAATATTTTCAGATCAACGCACCTCAATATCCCACTTCTATTCAAACGGAGACATTTGCGACAAAACAGGAAAACCACGGCAAACAGAAGTCAAATTAAAATGCATTGAAAATGCTTCAAACCCTGCGCAAGTTTCTCTCTACTTACTCGAACCTAGAACATGCCACTACATCCTAGGTGTTGAGTCACCGCTCATATGCCATATATTACCGTTAGCTGACGAACATGGATTAATAAAGCAATCTAAACCGTTACCAGGGTTTCAAGAAGGAGAAATAGATAAGACGAAGGAAGAGGATGCTGCAATAAAGAAAGATGTACCAAAGTCTGAGAATGATTAACGTTAATAAATAATTATTATTTTGTTTTAGTTAATTTTGTTTGTTTTATTTTATTACATTCTTATGATAAATTTAAAGTTAATTGTAATTTCATTTAGTGTTTGAGAAAAATGTATTTTAGTAGATAGACAGGTACTTCAAATATTAAAACAGAACATCGTTAAGATTCTGCAGTAGTCAAATTAAATGCATTTAAAAAAATTTCATTCATATTTGGCCAACAATAGGATGAAAATAGTTAATTTTGATACAAGTGCGGCGAGACAAATGAAAATGACAAATCCGCACGTGTATCAAACGACGTTTTTCAACACATTTGCGAAAAAACTACATTGAAAGTAAAATAAAACAGTATTTAAAAGAAAAACATTTTATTTCTTTGTCTGTTAAAAATTCAGAGCACAAATTATTTCAGAGTACAATGGCAACCATAGACCATACACTATTATGGCGACTGTTGCAAGTATTCAGCCACATTAAAATTACTATTTTAGTGGCGCGGCGCGCAGCAGTCTCGCGTAATACTCACCTCCGGTCTTAGTTAATGCTCATTCAACCATCTTTATGGAAAATATTTTGGTATTTATAAATGTAACACGTTGTTTTATAAAACACCGATGCAATTTAAACAGATAAGTTGTAAGTAAATATAAGTTTTAATGACGAATGACTTACGTCAAAAAGCACATAAGTATTAAATAAATATACAACCTCTTTACTTCTATGTTTAAGACTTGAAACAACAGCAAATTTAAAAAAAATGGAAAAGTAAAATGCATTATGTGCGATAATTCCAACTTTCGGCATGATTTGTAGTACGAAAAATAATACATTTTGAGCAACTGTATTAAAAAAGAATTTATTTCAATCATACATTGGATTCTACTATATTTTGGATTAATTTAGTCAAATCATAAATATAGAAAAATTAGTAATAGAATAGTAGTAAGTACCCTTAGAATAATAACAAGTGCCTATAATAATTAAACTAAATTTTGTAAAAATATTTATTTCGTGACCTTGGATTCATTCGAAATATTAGAGTAACCAACACGATAAAGATAGGAGAGATCAGTTATAGATGTATGGAAAGACGACATGGCTCTGGATTCCACACAAATTTGATTCAAAGTGTGTGGTGTAATTAATAGCATTTAAGTTTATTTGAAAAGAGCTACCCCTAGAGTTTTTTGCTTGTTAGGGAAGCCAGCACAGTGAATGAGCAGTACAAATACACCAATGGAATATTTTCAATGTAAAAATATAATTTATCCTGGAATAAATGATTCTTTGACTTTGACACGTAAAGTCATTTTAAAAAGTAATAGTAAGTAGTAGAATTTAATAAATTTTTTTTCTGTAGTATTTTCGATGAATTAAAAATATAGGAATAAAATAAACTGGAACAAAATTTTATAAAAATATAGGTTACTAATTTTGAGATGAAATTGCGAATTGTCTATTTTTGCAGTTTGTCAGTTATTAGATATTCTATCGAATAACAGTTTCAACATTCAAAGTAGTTATTATATAGTTTTGCAGCCATCGCTTTAAAATATAAAAATGAGCTAATATTTGTGATATCATTCGAAATATGTGTAAAGCCAAAAAATAATATATTTCTTCTTATTGTATAAAAATATATTATTGGAAATATGGGAAAAAATATATTAATATTTCTTCTCGTATATTTTTGCAGTTATGGCAATCACATTTATGGTAGCACTGGGTTTCGCGCGCTTTTAATGACAGTTAAAAAGTAACCTGTTTTGGTTTTGTGTAGCGGTGTTTTATTATTTTTTGTTCTTATTTTCGTTTAAATCTTTGAATTCTAAGTGTTTGTTAGTGTCTTGTTTAGCGATACGTCAGCAAAACAATGGTAAGTGCAAATTAAGGCGTTTGAATTTGATATTTTTGGTCGACTCTTGGTTAATGTCTGTAATTACCGGTGCAATGGTAAAAAGTACAGAATCGTAAAGATATTTCACTATTTCTTAGTAATATAATGCGAAATATTTCATAATAAAAAATACCTCGTCTTTATGGTTTCTCAAGTCATAAAACAAGTGTTTCAACAATACGTATGTCGATCCAACAATGCCTAGTTTCACAAAGATGAATCTCAACGTAACGTTGAAAACGTCTCCTATGCCTTAGTCCCTGTTTTGAATTCTTTTTCCCTTAAGACACTGAGTACTGATTGTGGCATATTTTATAAAATATCTAACATATTTTGTGTATTATGCAGAGTTCTCCAACCCCTGACACGCCGACAGACCGTGACGGTGCTCGATCCCGTATGACGTCGCCGGCGCGTGATTATGAGATGTTCGAGGATGAGAGTGCTATCCTTGGAGATAATCCTGCTGAGGAGGAGGAGGATGGCGAGGAGCTTTTTGGAGATAATATGGAAGCGTAAGTGCATTACTTGAGAGATTACTTGTTCTATTAGTAGTAGAAATTAGTTAATATGTAATGTAAGAGCTAATTGCTATTTATGAAGCGCCTTGCTAAAAAAATTGCTTTTGTTGTGAAATTATTATACATAATTACATATAATTGGTTAATCAATAATTGTTTCAATAGAAATTATGCATTATATTATTAGGGAATAACTATATTTATGTAGCGAATGCCCAACATGAAAGTCTACAGTTTTTCAGAAATTTTAAGTTTAACATTGTTATTTTTTCTCTATGCAATTTGTGTTAAATTTTGTACATATCAAAACACTTATAAAAGTTAAATTATTATGACTAAATACTAGAGATGAAACTGATATCCGGTAACTACGTTACCTATGTTTAAACTGAACTATGTTTATATCTGAGAAATTTAAAATTCATAATCAGTATCAAATAAATAGATCTATTTATTAAAGATGTTTATAATAGGATAAACAGCAACTACAGGATTGTATACAATTTGTTTATTACGTATAACTTTAAAGAAAGAAAGAATTATGAAGTTAGATAACGTTATCTACAAATTTAGTACTCAAATTTCAAAAACATCAAATTATGGTGGATGAGGACCAGTTTTTATGCATTAAGTGGTAAAAGTTGGATCTATTTATTTTCATAAACGAAACTAGTTTCAGAGGACAGTTTTTCATATAAACGATTGCAAACTTTGTTAAATTTTATGTATGACTTGTTATTGCCAAACAACCCAATGAAAGGATCGCGATATTCAAATACAATGTGTACCTACTTACAAACTGTAAGTAACTGTTTTTTTCACTGTTAACAATTTTCTGTTATGTATTTGTTTGTATTAACAAATAAATGAATCGTTTTTATAAAAACTGTGTGACCACAATCGTCAATGTGAAAGTGCATCATTCGCCAATCTATCAATCACGGCGATGCGCGCTGAAAACTGGCCGCGACATGTATACGGCAATACGTCAGATATCCGGCGGCCGGATATCCGGCTATTCGGCCTAGGTGCTCGCCGCACAACCGGTATCCGGCCAAATTACTATCCGTTTCATTTCTATTAAATACAGGTTTCTAACCATGATATGAGTTATTTTACTTTTTTTTCCAATATTTCGGAGTGGTTACTCAACCCATAACCATAAATGTGTAAAAACTGTAAATTGATAATGATTATTTAGGTGATAGTTCCTAGCTAGAACAGCATACAATGCCTCCACAATATTGTACTAAACAGAAAAAAGAATTCCACATTGAGCACTATTTTATTCATGTTAGTTACATATTTCAGAGATTACCGTCCAATGCCAGCGCTGGATCGCTATGATACTGAAGACATGGACAATGACGACTACGACCCGATGTCTATTGAAGACCGAGTTGCAGCTGAGCAGGAGATGCGACGCCGCGATCGCGACGAAGGGAGAATGCGGCGGGATGACCGTGGATTGTTATACGGTGAGAAATGTACACTTTTTTACTAATGCCCGTGGTGTTCTTCACATAGGCATAACAAGAGGAAAGATATAATATTGTACTGCAATGGAGGCCAGACTATAATAAAATGATCTTTGACATATTTTATTAACTGTCTGATACCATAGTTTGATCATCTAGATGTACCAACTATCAAATCAGAATGTACGAACATATGCAAAAGTATAAGTCAACATTGACAGTACACAAATTTGTTGGCAATATCTTTGTAGACTGATGTAGAGAAACATTACAGGATTTAGTTCTAAATCACATCATTTCGTAGATTTCTCATAGATGGCGCTACAGAACAGCACATAGAAAAATTCGCAAGATCCGCTGGTTCATTCTGTAGCTTAGTTGAGAGAGCGTCAGACATGGTATGCTGAAGATCATGGTTAGAATCCAGCCTTATTAAAGGAATTTTTCATAGTGTTAGATTTATGTAACTATACTCTAGTTATTTTACAAAAAATAATTGTAAATCATGGTAGTAAATCATAGTGATATTCAATAAAATTAATATTGCTGTTGAATGTTTATAGTCATTGAAACACAAACATGATTCTATTTATAGTTCAAGAATCGAAAAATTAATATGAAAATATGACGCAAGTAATTGAGGACATCTCAAACTAAACCTCAAAATATGCACTCACCTAGTTGAGTTCTGGAAACCAACCCATACATAAATATCAGCAGATGTTCAGCAGTTCTTTCGAGTGGGAGGTGGTCTCTAACTACACCGACTGATTTAAAACATCTGTTATTCAGATATGGGGAAAAATATTCCGTGAGTTATTTGCAGGATGTTTCCTGCGTTAGTATTGAACCCTTCCCTGTCGTTATCATTGCAAACAAATGTGAGGTTGATGCCCTCACTTAGGTATCCACTATTTCTACTAAGTGCTTTACAAATAGTGGATATCTAGGTATATATGTATATATATCATAACATATATTTTCAGATGATTCCGATGAAGAAAACGAGGAAGCCCCGCGTGCAAAACGTCGCCGCGCGGCTGAAAAGGCGGCTATGGGTGGAGAAGAACAAGTTGAGGAAGGAATTGAGAGTATTGAGAACCTTGAGGATACAAAGGGGTACACCATCAAGGAGTGGGTCTGCATGCTGGGACCTAGAACAGAAATTGCTAATAGGTTTGTCTTTTTATTTTTGTTTTTGTACACTCATCCATGGCAAGCAGTCGTGATTTCTCTTGCAATTAAAAACATATTTATCAATTTTTTTCTTGTTATTATATTATTATGGTGAGTTATTCAGGGCCTGAGCGGTTAACAATCAATGAGACCAATAATTGAGCTATTGTGGTCACCATTGATTTCAATATTATTACGTTTCGAATTCGAGTTTCGACATTGCAATATTATTACAATATTAAAAACCCCTTAAGATTTTTGCGATTTAAAGCTCGTGAGTGGCACTGTAACTGTTATGGTCAGGCGTGTAGCTTACCATCAGGCACACGACTTGTTCGTCTCGGCACTTGATATTAAAAAAAAAAAAATTAATTTCTGAGGGTTGTGAACCTTTTTCGACGTGCAGGTTTCTTCACGATGTTTTCCTGCACCGATAATTTCATGGTAAATTTCAAATTAAATTTCGCACATAAATTTCGAAAATCTCATAAGTGCGGCCTCTGCTAAAGAGGCGGTTAGCCAAACCGTTAGGGCGCCTTCGTCTTATAGAAGCGTTGTAGTGATGCGACTATGGCGCGGCAGCCGCGCGCCTGTAGCGCTTCGGTATTTTTTAGGTCACTAATTGTGACTGTAAAAGTGACGTGCGCGTGTCACGACAGTGTCCCTGGAACTGCACTTCTAAATAGTGTGTGAAAATTAGTAGAGGCACGGCTACAGCGCCACAGTGGCGCCACTGGAGGACTTCTATACGTGTCTACTTTGAAGGCTCCCATGTGCTACCACGGCTTATAACACGTGCAATATAAATTCTAAATTCAAATTAAGGATTGGGTGCATAAACTTTAGTAATGTTGCAAACTTGTCATCAGTTACTATAGTTATGTAAATTGTTAACCGACTTCAAAAAAGGAGGAGGTTCTCAATTCGACTGTATTTTTTGGATGTTTGTTACGCGATTACTCCGGCGTTTGTGAAGCGATTTTGATGATTCTTTTTATTATTGGAAAGAGGGTACCTCAGTATTGATCCCATTTAAATTTGAAGAAAATCTTCAAGAAAATCTTCCATCTCTAAGGGTGGCAAACTAGGAGATGAATCCTATTTCACGCACTGTCCAGTAACTGATTGCAATAAAACTTGGCAAATAGATGTAATTCCATTAACTTTTGAGGTCGGTTTTTTTAATAAAAAAGTTGTAATTATTTATTGTATTAATCACTCCTGGTTGCTTGTTTAACAGGTTCAAAAACTTCATTCGTACCTTCACAAACAGCAAAGGACAGTATGTCTACAAAGAACGCATAAGACGCATGTGTGAACACAATCAATCATCATTCCATGTCGAATTCAACGTACTAGCTCGTCGCGAACAAGTACTTGCGTACTTCCTGCCAGAGGCACCATTTCAAATGCTACAAATCTTTGACGAGGTCGCCTTAGAGATTGTATTACAGATATTCCCAAGTTACGAACGCGTTACACCTGAAATACATGTTCGTATATCGGATTTGCCACTCATAGAAGAACTCCGAACCTTCCGGAAGCTACATTTGAATCAATTAGTGAGAACGGTTGGAGTGATAACGGCCACTACTGGTGTTTTACCTCAACTGTCTGTAGTGAAATATGATTGTAACAGATGTGGGTATATTTTGGGACCATTCGTGCAATCTCAGAGTTCGGAAGTCAAGCCTGGTTCCTGTCCGGAGTGTCAGAGCTCTGGGCCGTTTATGGTGAGTGGCTATTTGTTATTACAAGAAACCCCTAACCAGCTATAGACAGAAATGAAAGTAGATCGGAGAGTAATGTCGAAAGGCATTATTGCTGTTTCACTATATTATTCAATGATACTGTTCTTCTTCTCGTATCGATTGCATACAGTATAATGTTTGCCATTGTGGTGAAAGAATTTGCCTTATTGCTATGTTTGTAACAATCTCTTTCATGACTCATTACAATTTATGAGAAAGGGATATGCAAAAGTGGTGCAACCAAAGAATATCTTCATAAATACATACACTACATAACAAGTACTAAAATACATATGTATATAGAACACTTATGTAATTAATAAATACTACATAAGTATTTTTTTATTGTACTTTTGAACGAAAAAAATGATGATTCTGTTAACAAAAAAAAAAAAAAACTATATTTGTTTAAGTTATAGTTTGTTAGGCATATAATATTGAAAGCATATTAGAGGAATCATCATAAATAAAATGGAATTCTGAAATACTGTGGGTATTATTTTCAGGTGAATATGGAACAAACCATATACCGTAACTACCAAAAAGTGACTATACAAGAATCTCCCGGTCGCATACCGGCAGGCCGTATTCCGCGCAGCAAAGATTGCATTTTGTTGGCTGATCTGTGCGACAGATGCAAGCCTGGGGACGAGGTCGACCTGACAGGAATATACACTAACAATTATGATGGATCTTTGAATACTGAACAGGTGAGAATAACGTAACTTGGTCCATTATGAACTGATTCATTGAGTAGACTCCTAATAGTTTAAAAATAATATGTCTTCTATTTTTAAATATTTCTTGGTTTACTAACATTTATTACACAAATATATATAATAAATTAAATGTAGTGAAGACCTTATCTAAGTACACAAGTTGATGAGTGAACATGCTCGCAAAAACAACATAAATATAGTGAAATAAAAACTTTAAAATTGTAATTAAATGAAAGAAAAAATACAAATAAAAGTGACTTAAATTTAAATCCTAAATACAAGAGAACAAGGAAAACATAAATTTAAATGTCCTCCTTCAATGAACACTACGCCAATTTTATTTTTTGGTCATTGTCAATATTATGCTCCATAATAAACAAAAAACTAAATTCGAAAAAAAACCAAAAAAACGTATTTTATGAAAAATAAAACAAAAAATCGAATTTTATGAAAAATAAGAAACAATACAAAATAAAAACAGAACAGGTCCAAAAATTAAGTTGGCGTAGTGTTCATTGGAGATATCGAGGGTGTGATATCGGACAATTTAAATTAAACATTATTTCGTTAGGCTTAAGAGCATTTGTGCACTACGTCCGATTCGTATCACTTCCGAATCCTAGAAATAACGGTCCTATATGTCACAGGGATCATTTTATCTCTAGGTGTACAAGCGATATTCGTATTTTCTCGGATTGGAATAGGACTTAGTGCACCAGCGACATCCGAAGTGGGTCCGAGTTTTCTAGATTCGGAACGAACACGAACCGGTTGTAGTACGTAAACGCGCTAGGTGTGCAATTCACTTCGCGTTGCAGTGGGATTGTTGCATATGAACATTTATTTTACGTCATCATCAAAATAAATGCCAATCAATAATAATGACGTCAATTAAAGGGACATAAACGATAAAACATCGTATATTTCTGATTAATAACATTCTGTTATTTATGGTTATTATAATAATAACTGTACTCGTAATTTAACCGTGAATGTATAAAATGAAATTGTTAAATTGAAAGGCGATAGTTTGCGAAAATGTAATTTAATTTGCTACTCCGCGAACTTAAAGGTTAAATCGTGCAAAACGGAAGGATTCTTCAGCTGAGCTATGCTATAACAAGAAAACTTCGGCCGCGGATCGAACAGTCAACAATTTCCGAGAATATTTTAGGTGGTGGGGTTTGTGACTGTAGTTGCGCTTGTGTTATTTATTTTATTAATGTTATGTGGATGGCTGGGATAATTAACTGCGTGAAAAGATATTCGACACAAGCGCAACTATTTCGCAAGAGTCATTTATTTAGTAGCAGTAGAGCTTATTGTGAAAGAGTTCGTCCAGGAAAGTACTGCCATCTTACCTGTTTCTGCCACTAAGCAGTAACGTAAGCATTACTGTGTTCCAGTTTTGCAGGGTAAGGGTGCTGGTGAAATTACAGGCACATGGGTCTTGTCAACTTATGTCTCAGGGTGACGGGCGCAGTGGCATAGCTCTTCAGATCTTTTTTAAATCTTTATTTATTTAGATACTTTTGTACAATGTACAAAATATAGCTACATGCCTGGTCGGCGCTGCTGCTAATAGTTTTTTTGCCCGTTTCATGTGAGGATTGCCTAGTATACAATTTATAGCGCCTACGGATGTGTGGTTGATCTGCAGGTCTGTCATCAACGCCTTCCTTAGATCGATAGAAAGTAATTTAAAGCTCTGAGTTGCACTGCGAATGTCATAAACAGACGTGTCGCTTACTACCAGGCGCACCACTTGTTCGTCCCATCACTTGGTAACATAAAGAAAACAAAAATGTTACCTTCACTGAGTTCGAGGAGTAGCAAAGCAATCGTCGCCATCTCTGAGGCCATGGGTTCGATCCCCGGCGGGGTCAGTGTAGAAACTAACTTTTCTATATTGTCTCGGGTTTGGGTATTTGTGGTACCGTCATTGTTTCCGACTTCCATAACATAAGTGCTTTAGCTACTTTGGTGCTGAGCAATGTATGTGATGTAGTCTAATATTTATTTATTTATTTTTATTGACAAAAATTTACGTTCCATACTAACTTTTATCGTTCTTCCAGGGTTTCCCAGTATTTGCAACAGTCATAATAGCTAACTACATAGTAGTGAAGGACTGCAAGCACATTGTGGAATCTCTCACTGATGAAGACGTAGCTAACATCGTTAAGTTGTCCAAGGACCCGCGAATCGGAGAGCGAATTATACAAAGTATAGCGCCCTCTATTTACGGACATGAGTATATTAAGAGAGGATTGGCGTTGGCTCTGTTTGGTGGAGAGTCTAAGAATCCAGGTATGTTTATAAAACCACTATCAGACGTTACTCTGCATACCCTTATTCTAAAACGATTTAGCTTTATATTGCTTCCTTAGCCTTATTTTCTTGTAGTCCACTAGTGGGTACATGACACCGAATAAGACACATGAAGATGACACCCCTCCTGGTTCTTGGTATCTGGGGCCGCAAAACTATTAAATAAGATGGAAATATTTATTTTATGGAATGCCATGGTGTTTTTACTACCTTGGTATTCATTATATAGTTTGTATAAATACTTCTTTAGTTTGTTATTATTATTGATGCAAAGATCGAACAGCAAAAATGAAAGATCCTTCTGTTGCCACACCGTGACTGAGGCTTTAAACTTTCTCCATGTGCTTGTTGCAGATTGAAACAAGTTGGAAATAGTTTATGTCTGGCTTCAATTCGTGCAAACACAAATTAAAATGAATCTAAGTTCATTGCGTCTGTATATTTCCTTTTCTAAAGCATGGGAGGTTTTTGTTTAATGATGTCAGATTAAAAAAAATACGGTACACTACATTATTTACATTACATTAACACTACATACTATATATTCTACTGTTAGGTCAAAAGTTACATAATAAAAATAAAGAAAATAAAATGAATGCATCAATGAAATGATTACACGACACCTGCTAAGTTCACCGAGCTCCCAGGAAGTACGTTCGGTGAACCTAGCAAGTAGATCGGAGTCCCACCTATCCGCTATCATTTTAATAGCTCTACATAAGTTTACTCACGCAAATTTAAATTTATGGAGCAGCTTTAGTAGCAGTAGATTAGCTTGTGAAAGAGTTCGTCCAGGAAATACTGCCAACTTACCTATTTCTGCCGCCAAGTCACATTACTGCGTTCCGGTTTGGACGGGTAAGGATGCTGGTGAAAGTACAAGCACATGGGACTTGTCAACTTATATCTCAGGGTGACGGGCGCCGTGGCAGTGCCTTTAAGATCTTTACGATTTAAAGCTCGGAGTGGCACTGCAACTGTTATGTATAGGCGTGTCGCTTACCATCAGACGCAATACTCGCCCGTCACCTTATAAAAAAAAGTTCATGTACCTTAACTAATTACAGCTCAAAACTAAAACAACCTCTGTAAATTTGTTATTGATTACGAAAAAAAGACGGCACTAAACGAAAACTACGTTTAGGACGTATTTACACGAATCACGCCATTAACTGACACTCTCTGTTATCTTGTCAAAAATCAGCTTGTACAAGAGCACAAGTTGCGTTCAACTTCAACTTTTGTATCTATGGCTCCGTCGTTTTGCGCGACGATTTCGCCAACGTCAGGGTTGAAAGACATGTAGAGCGGTGGTGAGATAGATTGCCGGTTATTAAAATACTTCGGCGGTTATTATACACATTGTTGAATATATATATTTAATGACATTACAAAAATATAATTTGAGGGCTCATGTTATTTTCTTACTTTTGCAAACATTTTAGGAAGTTTTATTTAGCGGGAAATAAAAAATAAAATCGTTTAATAAAAGTTCGAAGAATTATTGTGTTATTTGTTCAATTAAAAAATGTATATTTTCAGGTGAGAAGCACAAAGTAAGAGGTGATATTAACGTACTGATTTGCGGTGATCCAGGAACTGCTAAGTCACAGTTTTTAAAGTACACAGAGAAGGTTAGCAGTCAGTTTTTTTCTAATTAATTCCATAGATCCCGATGGCTCTCATTTGTTTTGTTACAATTTTGAACATGTTCGTGGGTGTGTACTGCACTACCTTTTCGAAGCGTGTGATTCAAGAACACATCTTACTTGACACTTAAGGTTAAAATTCAACTAGCCGCTTATGATACGAAAAAAGTCAAGCTTCATGTGTTCTTGACTGTACAAGATTAGATAATTAATTATTCGATTTTTATTGAATGTCATGATGTTTTACTACCATGATATTCATGAATTTTTTATGAAATTTCTCTACTTTTTCTGTTATAACTGCGTCCGTGGCCGAACGGTTGCCTCGCATTTATTTCTCTCGTGACCAGGCATGCATTTATTTCTCTAGTGAGTTTGGGTGTAATTTGTGGTTGTCTATGTGTACGTCCATGGCACCCGTGATACAGGGTTTCCCTAGTACGGGGCTTAAAAAATAAATAAATTGTCTGTTTAAAGGTAAAACCACCACAAGTGACATTTTCCACAAGTCTCTAATTGATATGGCTATGGTAAGAAAATCACTATCTTTCTGCAGGTGAAACTCAATAACAAAAAAGCTATAAATTCAATAAGACTTTTATCTGCAGAAAGATAGTAATTTTCTTACAACAGGTGCGTAATTAAATTTGGAAAATTTTTGTGAAAAATGTCACTTATGTGGTTTTACCTTTAAGCAAACGAAATACAAAGATCGAACACAAAGAAAAAGTGCTTCAATTTGACAGGACTAGAACCTGTATAAGTCTGCATGCCAAACTAGGGCAACCACTCTACCAACTAACCCACATATCAATTTAGCACACATTTTAGCAGCATAAAGCGCAGGCCACACCACCATGCAACCGACTATGCGATCTTAGCTGGGTTGCTTAGTTCGCGGTGTGAACAGATGTATAAAAACAAGCCACGGCTAGTACGACCTCGCGGTGTGACCTGCGCTTAACAGCGTGAAACCCATTAACAGCGGGTGCGCGTCGGGCGCGTGTCGGGTCGGGTGCACGGATGGTGTAATTCCGTGTATTTATATGGACGACAACACACCACGCGCGAGACGTACGCTGTGTGTTGTCGTGTCGCGCCACGCTCCCGACCCGACACGCACCCGTTTTCTGTGTGTTTCACGCTTAACCGTACTTTTTATTATACGGTATGTTTTCTATATTTACAGATTGCCCCACGCGCCGTGTTCACAACCGGTCAAGGCGCTAGTGCTGTAGGTCTCACTGCCTACGTGAGAAAAAACCCTACTACAAGGTACTTTTGTAAATATTTCCTATTAAGGACTTCTGGAAAGCTTAGTAGAACTACTATATAGTATGTTATACACTCCTGGATACATAATTCGAGCCACCTTGCATTTTTATTATTACAGGGCAAGAATACGAAAATATTGTTAAGTAAGCAAATATTATGGCCACATCGAAGAAGTCGATGATTTCGCCAATGTGAAGTTGAGGAAAACACACGTTTTTACTCTAAAAATTGACCAGTAAATTAGAATTCACTGAGAGGAGAATCTACAACGACAGCAAACCTACACAGACTATTACAGAACAAATTGTTTTTTTATTACACACAATACTACTGAATACAGACATGACATGTTTCGCTAGGGTAATGAATTTTCTTCACCGTTAACGAGAGGTATTGCGACTAAATATTGACAAATGTACATAATTTAGATGTCAAAGTCGTACATGCCTCATATTTATAAAGCAGTTGTTAATTTTATATCAATTTCTTAGGTTTTCGCAATTACTACACATATAAAATTAAACTTTTTTTTCGGATTCCAATCGCCTACATTTGTTTTTATATTAAAAACAGCTAATGATGAATATTTATAGTCAGGACCCCGATTCAGAACTTCGATATTTTAACCGAATCGTTCGATTGGATATCATTCTCGAATCGAAGGGCGCTTTCCGAGCTATTCAGAATATTCGATTAAACGTTTGACTCGGATTCGGATACGTTATCGTTATCTAACAGCGCTTACAGAGTTAGTCGGTGAAAAATATTAGGTATAAGAAAAATTAAAATTGTTTTATACATTTTTTTTAAGACTTAATAGGCCTAAAATATAGAAATGCATTAGTCTTGCATTAAAATAAATTAATAAAATTGAATAAAATCCAGGCTCTATTTAAAATAATAAGCGATTTCCATATTACATTCTGGTTTGTAAACAATGTGACGTTTGGTAACTTTCATTCGATAACTTTGTTCTGAATAACGTTTGTAGCGTTTGCTGGTCGAGAAGTTCGAGTACGGATGCGACGTCATTTCGGTTTGGTTTCGAATACGACAGTTTAACGTTCGATTCGAGTGTTGTGAATAAAAATGAAAAGAAATCGTACGATATGAAATCGAATCGGTCGACAACTGAGTTATCGTAAGGTTCTGAATCGACCCCCTGGTTAGAAAGACCTATAAATACGAGTACATACCTTATAAACGAAGACATACGTAATATAATAAAACTCTATTTATTTACACGTATGGACTGCGACGTGTGCGTGTGACGCAATGTGGGTGTCCGATAACCGTCATTGGAAACGTCTTCGGTACTTGACACCCCTCGGTCAAAACTCTCCTTCATGAAGGTCGACAGATGTTGAGTTGGTATTCTCACCACAAATGAATTAAGTACTCATTCTTCCTGGCGGTGCCCTTTTAGAATGTAAAAAAATAATTTGCATTGCCCAAAACGTAACATTGTTTAGGAAACACGTGCATTTAGAGCGACAGCAGTTTGACAATGCCTTACTCTCAAACTCGTATCTTATAAAGAGTGATTATTCAGGAAATGGCAAAACTTTCTATTTATTTTAAATTTCATAACAAGGATTTTAATTTGGATGCATTACTTTAAGAATAGGTGTGTGCCAGTGTGTGAATATGAACGAAATGTGATGTGAAATCAATCAGTGTGTAAAGTTTGTATATGCAATCCATTTTTTGCATATCAGTAATGTGTACTTTAAGATACGAGAAAGTAAGGCGAAGATATAAAAACAATTTGATGGCCAGCGTTATTTCTTACAATTTGTTTTATCAAACTAATCGGTCTCGTTACAATTGGGACCTATTGTATGCGATTTAGATCCGAAAAAAAATTTATTATATGAAATGACATTTTATGTATATAAAACTTTTCAGAGACTGGACATTAGAAGCGGGAGCTCTAGTGTTGGCGGATCGCGGCGTATGCCTCATCGACGAGTTCGATAAGATGAATGATCAAGACCGCACCTCGATTCACGAGGCTATGGAGCAACAGAGTATCTCTATTTCAAAAGCTGGCATTGTCACTTCTTTACATGCCAGGTAGAGTAAACACACATATCGTCAAATGATGATGAAAAGATCAAACTTTTATTCAGCATAAATACATAATAGCAAAGCAACATTTCATCTAGCATTGGTAAAAGGCGCGTATCTGCACTAAACCAAATTTTACAGGAAAGAAATTTAACGTTATTACTTTATTATTTCAATGGCTACGACTTTAATTTTTGTACAGTAAGCATTAATGTACGTTGTCTACGGACTTATAACAATAGATTCCTGTATATCGCACTAATTTGGTTGCCACGACATATACGCGGATTTTACTTGGCTACTAAATTACCGAAATGGAATGCTAGTTACGCATATTTGCAGTACACCCGACGATTTTACTTGATATGTTGTAACACAAAGGCTCATAAAACATAATTGGTACTAATTCATATATCTAATAATAACATAGTTGAAGAAAATAAGGTTCAATTTTAGGACAGCTGACATCGAATTGTTAAAAGGAAATTCTTCTCATATTGTTGATTCCAGGAAATCATTTTCGAAAAAATAGTTTTTGAAAGTTGTAAAAAAGACATTTGATGCTAATGCCAAAATTGTCCCAGAAAAGCACACAGATTAGTGTTTTTTTCATACATACCATAGAACAATAACCTATAATATTATAGGTCTTTGGTACACACGCGGAAGTGTTTCAGTACACAGGCACCTCTCCGTACATTTAACGTCACGATATATAATTTTGAGTTGTAAAAATTAATATCTCAAAAACTATTAACGTCTTAACTTGGAATTTTCACAGCTCTCTCTTCCTTGACTTGACTCTTTTTGAACAAAACGTAAACAAACAAGTCACTGACCCGACCATAGACGGTTTAGTGATGGCCAATTGTAACGTCAACTACACATCGATTAAATAATTGAATAATTGAATGAATCGATTTATTCAATTGAGTCATACTAGCGGTTTTCAGCTTACATAACATATATAAGCATATTCAAAATTTCACTCAGATACTCGTTCGATTGCGATTGAAATGTTCGATGTAATAATCGATCACTAAACTTTAATTGATTGAACCGAATGTTTTTTCGAACAGTACTATGTGCAACCATAGGCAAGTCATAGAAGTATAGATGAATAATAACCTCACTTTGGATTACTATTTTTCAAATACGATTTTACGGTGCTATTCAAATGAATATTGTTGGAAAAAGTGATGATGTATCAAGCGGAAATCTTCGAAATATTCGTGAAAATGTTACTTATTCGATTTATTGAATGATTGCTTTAGAATTTTAACCAAACAGGTTTGTTTACATTTTGTTCAAAATGGATTGGAACAGACTATACCTAGTAATGGTCTAACAAGTTCGATATTTAAATTAAGTACCATACTCATAAGTATGAGTATGGTACTTAATTTAAAAGAAAAATAAAGGTAAGTACCTTGACCAGAATTTTTCTCCTTCAAGGCGGGACGCGTGTAAATTTATTAGTTTTAAAAGTAAAACACATGTTTATGATATTTACTAAATGTTGGTTAAAATAAAAAGAATTTAAAATATTTAATGGTCAAAAATGAAAATTCTTTTTCCAACGAATATTATAATATTTTTAATATAAATATTTTTCCGACGTGCTCATTGAAATGCTTTAATTTGTCAGGTTTAGTTTTTAAATACGTTCCACCGGCCGATATCGGCGCCGCCACCGATTGATTCCCGTCAAAAACACGACTATGCAAATGGCGCGGGTGATATGGCTAACTTGCTACTACGTTTTCGCGCGATTCTTTTAAATTTATTGCCACGTGTGTCCTGTTTAGGTTATTAAAACCGAAACTGTCCCGCTCAAAGCGGACTTATGGTCACGTTACTCATACCATACTATTAGCTTTGTTCTAAACAGAAACTACATACCTAGGTAGTGTCTCCTTAGAACAGTTGTACTCTCGAATTCGTTTTACTCTGCCTGGTAAAACGTTCATAATTGTTGGCAGCATGTGGTTGATTCAGCGCAATATATATGTCTGTAGATATGACAGCGAGTGCAGCTGTTCAGCGCGTGTTCTTTTTCGCAAATTGTGCTTCCATGACATGGCAAATTTACGAATTATAAATAGCATTTTAGCATTGTCAAAAACATTTTATCACCGTACTGTACCAAGAATAAGTGAACTTTATAAATGTTGCCCAATAGGTCGGATAGTTGCGTCCATGCGTGCTAAATAAACAATAATTTATTATGGAGTTGGCAAGAGATTATTTTGAGTAATTTTTCAGAAGTTTGTAGTTTAATATAGATAGTTTAGCTGCAAAAAAACTCGAACATGTTGCTCACACGATGTATGTACGTAGTTGTTTGTCTATAATAAGCCCTTATATTGTTCGACTCCATTTTTGAAAAGCGGCGATATAGATCTTAACTTTTTTAAGGACATACTAAATCAATTTAAAGCTTGCCCGTCGTGATTGATCTTCCTCCACATTTCTATTCACAATAGACCATAGGTTCCCAAACTTATTGTCCTAGTGGGCGCAAGATAAAAAAATTTCAACTCCCACCACCACAAAAAATAATTGAAAGCACGTATTATTTTATATTAACTTAGCACAACAAATCACTAGGAATAAAGATATATTATATATATCGACTGTGCAATCGGTACTATCTCAATTTTGACTACATTACAGATGAAGAAAAAAATTGTTTGCGTCATTTATATAGCATCTGGTTTTTTTAATAAAAATACGTAGTTTTTATTGCACATGTATGTATGTACACTACGTATTTTTATTAAAAAAACCAGATGCTATGTAAATGATTTTTTATTCATCCTGTAAAGTTGTCAAAATTGAGATAGTACCGGTTGCCAGTTCACAGTCGATATGTCAAATGCGGTATCTCCCCTGGACAGCATCAACGCCCCTCATTTTCTTCCGAGGCCCCTACCACCTCTTCAGCGCCCACTGAGAGGGCCGTAGGGATCACTTTGGGAAACTAAAGTTTAAAACTTGAATGTAATAGATCATAAAAAGTTTATTCAGATTATCATATTTTACTTCTTTTTCAGATGTTCGGTAATAGCAGCGGCCAATCCAATTGGCGGGCGTTACGATGCGTCCCTTACATTTTCCGAGAACGTGAATCTCTCCGAGCCTATTTTGTCTCGGTTCGACATTCTCTGCGTCGTCAGAGACGAGGCCGATCCCATGCAGGACGAGCATTTGGCTAAGTGAGTTACCCTAACCCGGAAACCTTTAACTACCCTAACCCGGAAACCTTTAACTAACGGTTGATACAATAAACAAAAGAAAAAGACAGGAGCTAGGGTATTAAGGCATAGCTGATTGTGAAATATTAAAATCTCGTCATAAAAATAATAATAAATGTTCAATTTTGCTATAGCTTCAATAAGATTTCTTCGTATTTATGTTTTTCAAACTTCGATTCTTAATTAAATATATAGGGTCAACCTATATATTTTGAACGAGTAGGTATATTTAGTACGCAGTAGTTGATTTTGTTGGCATAATAAATAATAACAACGTTCGTATTGTTGAGTAGAATGAACAATTTTAACGAATTTAGAAGGGTTCCCTTAATAAAGTTTGTTTCGTTTTACGTACTATAAATAAATATTATACAACACCAACATTACATAAATTGCTATAATCCCAAAGTAAGTAAAACACTTGTGTTGTAGAAATCGGTAACAACGACGGTACTACAAACACGCAGATAGGAGATAACATAGAAAAGTTTGTTTTACTACATTGACCCAGGTTGGGGATCGAACTCGAGATGAGCAAGCTATTCGACCACGGGGTTTGTTAAACGCATTGAACAAATTGTTAGAGGGTCCAAGATTCTGCGCCAAACAATAGGACAGAGAAGACGTATTTATTTTACAGGTTCGTGGTAAGCTCCCACATCAGACACCATCCGACTCAACGAGGCACAGTATTAGAAGACACCAATGGGGTCGACCCAGAATTTACTTTGTCTCAAGATCTGCTTAAGAAATACATCGTCTATTCGAGAGAGAATTTGCATCCTAAACTGCAGGTAGGTGTTATGGTTATTCTTGAAATTTTTTATTTTTAAATTTTTATTGTTTTCATATTCAATTATTTTTTGTGAAATTACTCCACTAGTTTGTTATAATTATTAATACAAAGATCGAACACTCAGAAAAAATTCCTTCGATCCGGCCGTATTGGAACCGACCTCTTCTAGCTTACCGTGCCAGACGCTATACCAACTAAGCCACGGAACGAACCAGCGGACCTCACAAATTTTTCTATGTGCTTGCTTTGTGTCTTTGGTTTTTCAACGACTTTTTCATCCGTCCGAAACAATTACTGTCAAATAAGTAATATTCGACAAAATTAAAAGACAAGTAGCCAGTATGAAGCTTCGTTCGCATCAAACGTCTTTACATTTGGTCCGTCCGAAACAATTACTGCCAAATAAGCACTACTTGCTTATTTGGCAGTAATTGTTTCGGACGGAGATCGAGAGTAGACCCCCTGGTTTATTAACCAAACAATTTTAATGATATTTTACAGACAGATAGAAATTAGCAACTAAGGTCGCGGTTTGGCATTGTACTCTTATAAATTATATAGTTATAAAATTACATGGGTTCAAAAAATCCGTAGTTTCAAATTACGGGGCTCGAATTACTTCGAGTCACCTTGCATTTTCTGTATTAAACACTGTTGGTTTATCAAAAATATTATGTAATTTTGAACTGGTATACTAAATGCTTCGATATGTACTCGATGACTAAAAATCATTTCCATAAGTCGTTGTTGAAAATATGAATTTGCAAACCTTTAAAAACAAAATCTCCGGGAGTGGATTTAGGATTCTAACTTATCAAACTTTATGATATTTTATAGACACCATCTAGAACAGGGGTTCCCAAACTTATTTTGTCTACTGCCCACTTTGAGAATAAAGTATTTTTTAGCGCCCCCATTTTTTCACCTACTTAAAAACCACTTAACTTCAAATTAAATTAATTGTTGTGAGCTATATTAGCAGAGATTAAACATTCATTCTAAACGAGACTTTTACTATAACCCGCGAGAGTTAACTTGAGACTTGAGCGCAGTATGTAGTACACAACGGCGCTGAGGTCTCAAATTAACTCTTACGGGCTACACCTGCCAATGATTATGATTATTGATACGCAACTTTATAGTATTCAGACAGAGTATCTTTTATTCAAAATAAAACAAACATAATCGATTCTAATATAAAAACTAATGTGAAGGATGAATATGATGCTGTTTAATAAATTTGTTGTTAATTGTTGTTGTGTGCAAGTTCCAGTACCACGTTCGGTAACATGCAAACGATTTCTCTTTTTAGTAAGCAGGGTTGTCACAGCACTAAAACCACGTTCACACAAATATGACGATGGGAATGCTATCAAGAATTGTTGAACGATTGACCACATTCCAGGGTACAATTGCGGGATCGGTTTTTGTAGCCAAAATTCTTGGTAGCCATTTTGAACTTGATTTTTATTTACTCGTTCGTTGTCAATTCTATAAGTTCTTCTTCCAGCTGAGGTGATATTGCTGTGTTGAAATTTGAAAACGGATCCAACACCCAGTCTGGTATTTCCAAGTTCAAAATGTCCTGGTATTGTTCGGTGAAGTCAATGTGGAGGTTTTCCAAATGTTGGCAGTAGGCAAACAAGTCGTTACTGCAGGATACTGATAAATTCGGAAAATTGTGAAACTCACGTCTGCCCATATTCTTTTTGTGTAGAAGCAGTTTGGCTGCGAATGCAGTAACGACATTTATTGTTTTAATTAAATTTAGTTCATCGCCTTGCAGTTGAACATTCATGTCGTTGAACAATTTATACAGGTCTGTCATGTAAGCTATATCATTCTTTGATGTATAAGCTTGTTGCGGAATTCTGTGTCTTTAGTTTTCAAGAACTCTATCACAGAGTCAAACAGGTTGTAAAATCGAGTCTGACAATTGCCTCTTGATAGCCAACGAACTTCAGTATGAAACAATAAACGGTGGAAATCTTCGTCATTAGTAACACAAAGCTGATGAAATAATCTATCATTCAAAGAGCTGCTACGGATTTTATCTTAGACTATTGATGACATATTGCAGTGATTGAAATAGTCGTTCACTTAAATTTCTAGCAACCAAATGTTGTCTATGAATAACGCAATGTACAGCAAGGACATCTGAAATTTTATTTTTTAAGTACGCTATGATGCCTTTATGGCACCCTGTCATAGCCGGAGCGCCATCAGTAGCATCTGATATAATATTTTTCAAGGGAATCTTTTTCTCATCACAAAACTTTTCCAATGTATTGAATATGGTTTCGCCTTTTGTATCGGTCTCTAAATTTCTAGCAAACAATAGTTCTTCACATATTTTCTCATCTTTAATAAATCTCACGTAAGGCAGCAACAATGCTTCATTAGTAGGTAAAGTGGACTCATCGAGATGAATTGAGAATTGATTAGTCCTTAGATGATTGCACAATGTTTTCAGCCATTTCATCACTTCGTCTTTGCATAGAATTATTACTTAAAGGAATTTTTCGGATAATATCTGCGGCCGGTTTATGAAGCACAGTAGTTATTACTTCCTTTATTGCTGGCAAAATGAACTCTTCTCCGATGTTGTATGGTTTGCCTTTTTGAGCAATTATCAAAGAGATATTGTACGAAGCTCGAAGTCCGCCGTCATCTTGCTTAGCAGCCGCCGAAAAGAATTTTGCTAAATTGGCTGAGTATTATGCTTCTTCTCTAGGTCTTGAAAATATGATACATTCTTGTCTTTCTTATCTGGATGCATTTTATTCAAATGATCTTGCAGTCTTGAAGGCTTCATTGCTTCATTAGAAAATGTTTTTAGACATAGAAGGCACAAAGGAGAGGTTTATGGGATTTTCAATGAATTCGAATTTAATATATTCCGCACAGTATTGCCGTTTCTTCTTTTTTACTTCCGACGTTGTTTTGTTTTGAGAAATACGTAAGTAAGTGTTGAACTTAAGTACTGCTTATCTATTACGGGCGAAACGAAAACGAAAAAAAATGAAAAATAAATATTACGTTGTTTATATAGGATTGCATAAGCAGCACGCACCGACAGGAATAAGACAAACATGCATAAACTCGTTTATCTCATTCGACGCTCAATCGTGTTCAACAAGTAAGAACAAGTATTCTATGAACCAGCCGATTGATACAGGAATGCACAAATCGGGTTATTTAACAAAAACTTGTTGAAACATGATTGCCCGCGGTCTATCATCTACGAAAATTGCCTATCTAGAAATACTAACAACTATTAAAACGCAAACGAAACTGTGTCTGTTGCCTTTTTATTTGTTTGTTTGTGTCTACTTTCATTTCGAAACGGAGCGATCGATTGACATGATTTTTATTTTATTTATTCAATAAAACAGGACAGATATAAGAACTACACGGAGAGAAATATCGAACCGAGTTAGTTTGAGCAATCTCTTAATTTATATTAGTTGATGTTCACAAGTTGTAGTCGAGAGCTCATTCGGTGTCCCAGGGTCGTATTCTAGAACTCTACTCAATGCTCAAGTCAGGATTGCAATTGAAACACAAGCACTGGAAATACGACCCTAATGGCAGGGACTTGAGTATGATTTCGAGTGCTTTAAACCATACTCAAATCCTGACTTGAACATTGAGTAGAGTTCTAGAATACGACCCTAAGAGTCTTCCTAGATGAAATTACAAATTTCCCCCTTAGCCTCTACAACGCCCCCATTTTTTTTTCTGGGTCTCTTACCTTTTAGGCCTGCAGCGCCCACAAGGGGGCGTTATCACCCACTTTGGAAAAAGCTGATTTAGGACAATAATATATTGGTTCATAAACTTACAATTTTTAACCATAAACAGCCAAACTTCATGCTACGCATATAAGACAAAAAATAAATTTTATTTAGAGATCGAAACGCTCGTAATCCCAAGGAGATATAAATCTAAATATAGTTCTACAAATGTATAAAAAATAATTAAAAAATCAGGTCAACCGGCGAGTATGTATGGAAACACTGATGCGTGCAGATGAGCCGAAAGATGTATCAGGACCGTAGCAACTAGAAGGCTCTCTATTTACCCCGATGGGAAAAGGACGTGAAATACTTATTTACCCTAACCACGTGGCCTAGGATACTTCTCTTTGAAAAGTCACTTGACAGCATATGCAAATACTTGTCTTACTTTCACAGAATATGGATCAAGACAAAGTGGCGAAAATGTACAGTCAGCTGCGCCAAGAATCTTTGGCAACGGGCAGCTTACCGATCACCGTTCGTCACATTGAATCTGGTAAGATTAAGTTTTCTTTTTATTTATAATACCAAGTGACGGGACGAGCTTGTCGTGCGCTTGGCGGTAAGCGACACGCCTGTCCTTAACAGTTGCAGTGCCACACGGAGCATTAAATCGCAAATATTTGAGGGACACTGCGCTCCCGCCACCCAAAGACAAAAGTTGACAAGTATCATGTGCCTGTAATTTCACCAGCACCCTTAAAACCGAAATGAAATTAGTTTATTTGCAAGTAAACACGGTATTGGTGATGGTAAAAGTGCATAATACTTGGTCTCATAAATACATGCGTGCGCCATTTCTGACATGCAAAATTTTACAATATTATATTATGGCAGTCGTTACAATAAACACTTATACTATTATTTTATCATCTTTTTATTTATTATCATCTATTAATTTAAGTTTATTACGATATGAAGTTTAATTTACACGCGATGCAGTAATACTCACATTATTTGCTACTTAGCGGCAAAAATAGGTAAGGTGGCAGTAGTTCCCTGTACTATTCTACTGCTACTAAAATTGGTTGGTACTGTTACTGATATGCGTCATGATTCCGACCAGCGTGCGGTGTCGCGTGCTTGGTATTTGTCGAATAAGCAAAAAAGGTAATTACTTTGTCACACGTACTGTCTACACATGGTAATTGTTTTCCAAATATACTAGTACACTAATATAAATAGCAATGTGAAGTGCCACCATTATATACAAGGTGTAACAAATCGACCCCTCCTACGTAAAGTATCGTATGTCGAAATTGTCAAGTTTACAGGGGAGCGTTTTAAAGTTAGAACACGTGACTTTAGCATTTCTCAGTTTTATACGGTAAAGCTCGTTACTCACACAGAGTATTATAAAATCCTAGATATCGGTTAGATGATTGATGATCTATTAGATGATCACTCTTTCAGTGAATTTAGTATTTTAAAACGCTCCCCTGTAAACTTGGCAATTTCGCAAACACATTAAGATATTATTGTCTTTCATTGCAGTGATTCGAATGTCGGAGGCTCACGCGCGCATGCACCTGCGACAGCAAGTGAATGAGGAGGATGTGAACATGGCCATCCGCACTATGCTGGAGAGCTTCATTGACACGCAGAAGTACAGCGTCATGCGCGCCATGAGACAGGTAACCACCATCACATATCTGCCCTCGATTGTTAAGCCCTTGTCTACTACTAACATGGCACAGAGATGTTTGATAAAATATTAGCCAACTTCGTTGTTATGCCATATCCAACCTTGTTCGTAATCAAAATTAGAAGTCTTCTACATTTAAGTTTTGGTAGTCAAATTGTCCTTATGCCTATGTAGGCTACCATGTATATCAAGTGCCACCTGGATAGCTGGAGAGCCCAATGATTTTCACGGGAGCGCTGGATGAGGAGTTTCCAGTTTAGTTATATGGTACAGTAGGTAGTGCTGGATGGAAGGCGAATTGTTCGCCGCACAGCTGCGATCTAAGGTCCATTACGACCATTGTCTGCTAAAGCGGTGGAGACGAACTGTGGTTCATCAAATCTTCTTATTTTGACTAGCATAATATGCTAAGTCTCGTCGCTTAGGCAAAATAGAGACATTATACTTGTTGCCAAAACAGTTCTTTTCTTCGCTGTGGCAGATAATAGGCCTTATGCACCAAAGTGGAAAACAGAGGTGTACCATTAAAATATAAATACTTTATGCAAATCTCCGCTTAGTGACAATAACCAACAATTATGATTAAACGCACTAGCACAGCTTGGGTGAATAATGGACCTTAATTACTCGGGGAGACAAGATAATAAGATCTAGTTCTACCTAGTTTCGTTCTAAGATACCTGATATAGACGTAGATAATACGTAGAGGGACTATTTATTCATAATTTTCATACAGTGTTATTACACCAGGTAGATACATAAAAAAAGTAAGAAAATTTCCTCGAGGGCCGTGTCCTGGGGCAATGTGCCCAGAAGGCTGGCAACATTACCATTTAAACCATTATAGGAGGCTTCTACGAGGCCATCCGACAGGTAGTTCGCTAGAAGTTTCGCCTGTGGCCCACCAGGGACCCAGGGATTCAACCGCAAAAGGCACAAGTTTTGCGGTTCTCGGCGTAGAGCTTTAGATAAGTAGTAGAATGCTAAACAGGTGACATACAATAAATACTAAATCCTTTTTTTCGCAAAGCAGCATTCCCACCAAATTACTTGCTAATTACCAAAATGGCGAAGTGAGTAGGGAATTTCATAGGACTTATTATTAAACCGAAATTTATTATTACTTACAGACATTCCAAAAGTACCTCTCCTACAAAAAGGATCACAGTGAACTTCTCTACTACATTCTCCGCCAGCTTACAATGGACCAATTGGCTTACATGAGGGGCCTACACCACCACTCGCTGCCCACAATCGAGATATCAGAACGCGACCTTATGGAGAAGGCCAGACAGATCAACATAACGGACTTGAAACCATTTTATGAGAGCCGTATCTTTAAAATGAATGGGTTTTCTTACGATCAGAAGAAAAAAGCTATCATCCATGTGTTGCCACAGGCGCCTGCAGTGTCGTAATTTTTTTGAAGTATTTTTTTAATTAACTAATTTTAAGGTATTACGTTATGACTGTAGTAATGGATATTAAATAAGTACAAATAAGAAATAGATCTTGTTTTCAAAGACTAGGTTCATCTATTTCCAACTGTTCTATACATATTTTATTAATTATATATAAAAAATATATATATAATTAATATATTAACGCAGCTATCAAATAAAAAAAACCGCTACGTGTAACGTTCAAGTAGACCCTGGTCTCCGGGATAAATGAGACGTCAGAGATGGGTACAAGGCTTCCAAATAAAACTTGTCAAGGACCCTGGTCAGATTTTTTAGGACTAAAAATTGTCTGCAACTATCGATGATGTACAGGTGATCCGTTCTTCTGTTTGGGAGCAACAATGACATACATAGAGTTCACACAGATTTACCTATTTTTTGTTTAACCTTTATGTTTCAAACTTATAACTCGCCTCTTTTTGCGTCTGGAGATAAAAACCGATGTGTTATCGATCTCTATGTGTTTTTTGAACTTTTAGCAGCAGTGTGAGTTAAAAATAACACAGCAATCAACAAATGTCCATTTGAAAAATTAAGGCCCTCAGTTGTGTGAATTTCATCGTCTTGTTTGTGGTTATTGGCTGTGCCGTTTTAAAATTTCGTCAGTGTTAAGTTTTGTAAAAATAATATATAAGTTCCCCAACTTTCATCGTCGATCATCGCCAATGTCGGTTGTGATAAAATAATGTCTGAATCTCATCTAAACATTTGTCAACTATTTTCGTTAAAAAACCAGAGGTGTCAAACAGTTTGTTTACTAGTAAATACCAGTTGATGATGTCTTAACAATGTTGTCGCGTAAAACTACGGAGCCATATGCAAACAAACCTTGATATCACAATGCCTCCTGAGCAGCTTGAAAGCCAGTCGAAATATGACAATATCCTAAATGATATTATACAGGGTGTACTAGGGCTTACATATTGATACGTCGGAAATGAAAGGGCTTATAAGCCAATTTTTATCGACAGTTCCTTATTGATGTCGATAATTTTCAAGATTTTTTTATTCACTGTGTTTTACTATCATGATATTCAATTATTTTTTGTCAAATTGCTCCATTAATTTGTTATAATTATTAATAACAAAGATTGAACACTCAGAAAAATGATGTAGATAAGTTAAAATTTCATGACTTATCCATTGGTCTACTCAAGAGTTCCTATTTGATAACACTACCTTTTTCACACACATTTAAAAATGAATGTAATATGAATCAAAAAGATTAGAAATTATAGTCTTTCTTTTAGGAAGTTTTATAGTTTCGCTTTTACGCCTTTTCTTCTCTAAAGTATTGATGAACACATCTATAATGTTGTATATGAATACATTATAATTCATTTTCCAACACTTAAATGTAAAATTTCTTGGATTTGCTTTGTGAGATACTGAGTTTATTAAAAGGAATTAATACTTATAATTGACCCTTTCGATAAGCATCATAGTTTTTTTCACATTTGATCAGTTCCATTCCTAGATGAGGTAAGTAACTTTAAGTCTTTGAATGCAGTGTAACTTACTTTTAAAAATAAAATAATGTTTCCATGAAGCAAAATACCGTATCTACAGTACTTTCTCTCCGTGTCCTAAAGTAGTACGCCCGTACACTCAAAAAGGCATATACTATACCCATTGACTTACAAATAAATGGACGACGGGTCTAATACAAAAACCACGAAAAAAATGTCCCAAGTCAACCTATTCGAAATTTAAATTGTTATGTCATCGCAGTATCGCGCTGTCAGTAGAACAAATGAAGACTAAAGCGGAGTGTCGCGCTCTGTATACGATTTTAGCGCCTTACAAGTGCGGACACTTTTTAGCGCGGACCCGACATCCATATAATTGTAAGTCAATGACTATACCCTTCAAAACCAACAGGGGATGAATAAACGCAGAGATTGGTGGTGATACTAATAACGCACATACTCAACATAGCCCCGCACTACGGAAAACCTTGTATCGCGGGTGTTATTGACACACACACACAAATAGACAACCACAAATTATACCCAAACTCACGAGAGAAATAAATGCAGACCACACAAATATTACTCCCGGCCCGGGAATCAAACCTGGGACCTTTGTTTGGCATAGTAACCGTTCAGCCACGGAGGCAGTTGGCAAGAGGCAAATGTATCGGATTTGGCATTTTAAGCTGAACTTCCGACTGGCTTTGAAGTTAAACTCCTGGTTAGGTAGTGTTTTAAACCGTTTAAAAGGATTTTATTTTTGACCCACCGTTAACAACGATTAATTTTAATGTTATTTTAATATTTTTTTGACGTGTTAAATATGTATTTTTCTCGTTTTTTTTTATTCTCTTAGTTCTATTGTATCAGAACGGAAGCCAAATTTTATACCCTAGATTTAAATACAGCATATTATAATAACTATGCAAAGTGTAATGCTGTTCACTGTACGTAAGTTTCTGTTACTAACTAGTTGGTTCAGTTTCAGAAATGTGATATTGATATTTCAAATCATTTAATTTTGTAATAAAACAGAATAGAAAATACAATGGCATTTTTTTATTAATTCATTCATCATCCATAGAGGAGACGCGTGATCAGCAGTGACACGTATATCAAAATATATTGATGATGATGTATAAATAGTTCTAATGTTATGTAAAATGTACACTTGTCAGACAATAAAGTGACCCATCGCTGTTTTCCTGTTTCGGCTTTAAACCAAGAAATTACTAAACGTGTTACGCTGCCTAGTAACTGATGAACTGTCTATTAGCAGAACAAATGGGAAAAAAGTACCAGTAGTTCTGTCAACAGACCTAGAGTGAACATTACTTACATCATAATAATTTATCAGATTTTACTTTCATACAAAAAGAAATAGATTGAAATAGAACGTTCTAAACGGTAATAATCAATAGTAAATCTATGGTTATAATTCTGTGTAGCACGGGGGTGGGATGGGAGTCGTCGCCGATGTTTGCACGTTTGAACTTTTTCTACCAAACACGCAACTAAAAAGTGTCAGATAGTACAACAAAAACTTAAAAGTTAATTTTTGGTTTGTCTTGCAAAAAGTCATGGAACAAAAGTCGTCGCTTATGATGTTGGTAATGTAGTCCTGCCAGGTTGTTAGTATTTCATAAATAACCCTGTAAGCTTAGAATAATAACGCATAGAAACCTAGTCCGCACACGCTAAGGGAGGCAAATTGAAGCGCTCCCAATGGGCCTACATGAGCGGGCGGGCCTTCAGTGCTCAAGGTCAACTTACACGCGAACAGCTAAAGAATTTTAGCTAAAAATGACGAAACATGCGGTAAATGAGTGTAAAAATACGTCAGACAAACAAAATAGATACTAACATCACATTCCACAAGGAAGTAACGCGTTTCAACTTGTATTTTTATATAAATATTCACTAAAACCGAAAATTCACCTTCTACTAAAACTAGCCTACATGAATTCGATTTTTGCCTCACTTGTGACAGTTCGTTTGATATGAAACTATCATTCTATGCGTTATTATTCTAAGCCTGTAAGTATATTAGTGTTTATTTTAAATTCGTATATATATGGGAAATAAGAAATTCAAAAACAAAATTTTTAACTTGACATTTATTTACATTCATATCAACAAAACGGGTGTTGTATAAAACAGTTCTTCATATTTTAATACCAATTGTATATCTTCTACATAAAGGTGCTCGGTCGAAATAGTGTAAAAAAAATCTGCAGAGGATAAGCTGGTTGTTGACCGTGACTCTATTCCCGTCCTTCTTTTTTAGAAAAAAAAGAAATAAATAAACTGTTGTTGTAAAAGTAAATGTTGAAGACTATAATAGAAAGCAGAATACGCTCGAAAACGTTGTTTTTCTGCTAGAAGACACAGCGTAACGACATTTATTTCTTGAAAAGTTGGATCGTTTATAAGTCTGAAGAATATTGGAAAGGTACACAAATACAAGAACAAACGAGAAGGGAATAGATCTGACCCTCTCTATTCCTTTCAGGTCATATCTAACTTGCCGAATGTTTTGAAAAGCTGTGTTTTCTCAAGTTATTTTTTTTTAAATATGTGAACATGGAGGACTAAAGTCTAGGTTTTCAATGATCGTTTCATTTGGAAACATGTGGTAAGAGAAAAACCTACCTTTGGCCAACATCAAAAGCAAAGCAAAAAGGCGAAGATATCGGCTTCAGGTACGTTTTTCCATTGTACATTGTCACCAGTACTACATGGTTTATTTTGTCCACGATAAGTATTTACAACAACAATGAGGTTCCCGTTTCAGACGCCTAGAAAACCGCTGTTAAAAAATTGTCTTATTTCTGAATTTATTCTACGTAGATCACACCTATAAACAGGCTTGGGGCCAAGACATCTTCCAATTTCAGTTTGCCTCAATTTTGTCAAAATAAATGTCAATCACGTATTTTTTTGACTGAATAATCGAGTCTTTCATTTTCCATACAAAATTTGATAGCAAAGTAAAATCAGAGCAATTGTACTGTGGCGCCCTCTTGTGGTCGTGTCTAGGGATTATGGCGTAAATTATAATCTATTATTCAGAATGTCAATATGGTTTAACAATACATTCCCCTTTTTATAATAATTTATTATCTTAACAACAAGAAAAACAAAAGACGAAAATAGTGAAGACTACGATGACCTTACTAAAGGAATCACAAGACATTGAATAACGGACTTGCCATACATATTTGACTATCAGAAATGGGATCAGACAATTTCAAACAAATTGTTTATTCTATTAATAGTCGAATATGTGTGTTTTTGTCCACTCTGAACATCTAGAAGGGAACTTATTCAGTCTAAATATTGTCTTCCATGAGACATCAAAAACATGACTAAATTAAACTAAATAATAACCCATGTCAATAATATTCCTTCTTTAAATACAATAATACTCAACTAAATTTTAATTAACACGTTAAATGATGGTCTACATCAGTTCTTTTAGAAGATAGTGAATGAATCTACAACTTAAGAAAGATGTGTATTAAACACTTAAGATTGGTCAGTTTTATTTAAACAATAAAACAAAAAACACATTGGCACAAGAACATTTAAAGAAATTAAATCTTAAGTAGGTAAATAAAAGTCAAATGTAAGGTTAACTTTAAACGTATCTAAATCGGTTTATTTTCAAGTTCGCGGTTAATTGTTCTTAATTGCCATTTCTTATTGAGCCATTTTGTAAATAATTAAGAAACGTGGTTATATTCAAATTAAGGTACCTATTAATACTTAATTTTTAACATTAATAATAAGTATCAAGTAAAGTCAAAAAAGGTGCCGGTGACTATTTAGAAAATAGTGACGTACAATAAAATAATTTTAAGTAATGAATACTAATCTTACTTACGAAAATAGTCTATCATTTAAATACTTAAATCTAACGAAAATTTTTGACTAAAGGGCCAGTGTTCGATGTGGTCATTTACAAATTAAAATCAGTATACAAGTACAGTAACGTTGAATTATTTACCATTAAGAACATAAAGAGACATCTCAAGTTGTCGTAAAATGATATGTCATTTTGGACTTTAGTATACTTTTCGTGAATCGGTTTGGTAACCCATATTTCCTTATATAATATGAATTGTGATTGCTAAATTTCTAGATTAGAAGATTCTTGAGACAACTTGAGATATCTACTCTTTCAGAAGCCCCTCTCAAAATTGGAGCTTTACAAAGAAAACAATACAAACTTTTTAAGTACACTATTGACAGCAAGGCAAACAATAAATACACTGATCACTTTGAGATCATTTTTTGTTAATCTAACATCTTATAATTTTTAACAAAAAAGACTTAGGACTGTTCAACTGACGATGGCCACATTTATGATTATAATGGTAACACAATAAAAGAACAAAAGTCTATAACAAAAAATAATATTAAGTTGTTCTAACGAACGTAACTGTATATAATATTAAATCTATAAGCAATACTTATAGGTACCTTTCGGCAGGCTGGATGATAAAATGATAAGCTTGTCTTTTATTAAGTAAATTTTTCTTAGACAACAAAAACATGGTTTCCAGTACTAGCTCTTTGGCGTACGCAAAATGTATCGGTTCCTAAAAGCATTCAACTTATGCTTAAAAGTGACTAAAACTTACATGGTAAAGAAAATAGTAATATAATAATAAAACGATTTTGGGAATACTTTGGAAACGATAAATCCTTTGACACAAACCTTAACCTTAAACTTATTAGTTAACAACTGTGCACGTGGACTCGCGTTTTCGAACGAACCTTAGGGACTATTCAGTTCATGTGCACCGGATACATCACAACAAACGTTCTTGAAACTTACAACCTCGCGTAGTTTTTCTTACTTTTTTTAAATTCACTAGGAACGAGTTCTGGAATATTCTAGTACGGTCTCGATAGTTCTTTAGAACGTTTCAATTGAACTTTGAGTCTCTTTGTACCTATTTGGAAGCCGTTCATGGCTTGTATGGCAGCCTGCGCGGAGGCAGCGTTGTCGTACGAGACGAAACCGAAGCACTTAGAAAGGTTCGTTTGTTTGTCTATGAACACTTTAGCCGATATCACGTGGCCAAAAGGAAGGAAAGTGGACGCGAGATCCGTATCGGTGAACTCTTGCGGCAGATGGTATATAAACAGGTTACCGCCTTCTGGACCTGGAAAATGTATATATTACGTTACAAAAAGTTCTCCCACAGGTTGATTTTGCAGACAAGTTACTTGTCTTAATTTTTAACAGGCCTTTAATTCTGTACTATATGGTGCTCAAGTAATCTCAAATTGCGTGGTCAGCTAGGGGTGTTTTTGAATTTAATGCAATTGGTTACGTAAGTATAAATCTATAAATCTTTTTCTCTATTTTATGTAAACACTGTCCCAGAACAATATTAGTGCGGTCACACTCCACTAACAGATGGATCAGGTCTTTTATTATTTCGCAGTAATCGCAGAGGGGGAACCATCTAAATGCTGAAAAGAGATTCCCTAGAAAGACCCGCACCATCAAACCAAGGCTTTCGAGGAGGTCGTGGTTTCATCGTCCTATATATACCAAATGTCTCTTGTTAGTGAAATTTCCTCGTAGTCCTGATTATCTTATTTAAGGTATTGTTTTACTTTTTATTTTTTTTTAATATTGGTGGGCGGCTACTTGCCTTCGACCTGTTTCCCAGCAGCTGCAGCTGCGGCTGAACCTAGTACCGAACCAAGTGGCGCGGCTGCAAATGCAGTACCGAATTGCGCTGCGTAAGCAGAATTCAGAGGCTCTGCTGTAGACCCTGTAAACATAGTAATAAGAGTTATTAAAATCAGAAGTGGAATTAGTACCTTATTGGGTGCCAATATTATTCTCATAATTAAGGCAACGTGGTTATATGTAAATATTAGAATAAAAATTAAGAAAAAATTAAGATCAAAATCATCTAATTGATCAGTCCATTCCAAACCAAAAACCTAGCGACACGAAACAAAGATATACAAAGTCATGGCAATACTTCTACGCTCATAATCATAACAGAGACGTGAGTGACATTCATGACATCGTAAAACAACAAATAAATTTAGTTTTTTAGCACTTTCATGCAAAAACAATAAAGAATAGGTGTTAATGGACAAAAACGAAGTCGCAATTATTTACTCATACTTTATAAATGTGTTTTTTGATGAAATGTTCGAATTAAAAGTTTTTTTTATATGAAATCATTGCGACAGGTGTAAAGAAAAACAACAGATTATGTACACTGAACAGTCAAAACAAGCTGATGAACTTAATTCATAGCTTGGCCAAGAGATCATTCCGTTATAAAAATTAGAAGACGGCTACATATCGTGATCATACAACATTTCATAATAAGGTCCAAGCCTAATATGGAGCCATCCTTAACAAAAAATATTTCAGAACAAACAAGCAATCTTTATCCTTAATTTGTTTATATCCCAATTTAACGTATCTATTACACAACCAAATAAAACTATAAATTTAAGGTTAAATTTCTTAAAAAACGGCGTCATTCTGCATTGTCAAGCCTATACAAGCGCGATGCATACCAAGCGACTTTAGATTCGTGTAATAAATGAGATAGTAGCATTTATAAATCTTGGTTCCTTGGTGTTTACTGACAACTATTATACGAAGTCAATGTTAAATTGTGATATAGTTTAGTACTTGAATAGCCTAGCAAGAATTATTGTTGTAACATGACTATTTCAGATTTTTGACAGATCCAAAATTGCAGATCGATGCTTAACAATAATAAGTATATGATAAATTGCCGTTTATAAAAAGGAGATTCTTTTATACATTAGACAACATACTCTAGAACCGTAAAACCAAGGTTCAATACACCACATCATTCACTACACGTGTCCAAATAGGCAACAAAGATTCATTCCAAGAAAACACACATTTTCTCCAATGCGTTTTACCTGTGACGTTAGTCTTCCCGAGAAGACCTGAAGTGTGAAAAATGTTCATCGTTAATTAACGTTTTTTTTTACTTTAAGTCCAACCTGAAATAGGAAAGTTTGCCGAGAAAAACGATTCTTATAGTTTTCTGGGTGATTTATTTGAACGTACATCCCCAATTAAGGATTTGGCAGGGATCGCAATTAGTGCAGGATTTATCGTGCTTAATTGTGCTGCAGAGGCTCGATTCGTGGAAAGAACGGAGGACAAAAGAACTGACAATTAACTTTTCTATACTAAGCAGCGCTATTCAATACTTTATAATCTAATTGACTAGTTTCCTCGTGATAAATGAAACTGAAATGAAGCAACACACATTCTAACTCCTGCTTTGTAATAGAGCTCCCAATGTTTTGACTTTATTTTATTCTAGAAGATTCATTCATACCTAGGTACGGTATACTAGGTTCAATCAAACGACTTCCTAAAATACCACTATCTTTTATTTAGACGTAAAGCGTTACCTCGAGTCGTGTCGAAACTCAATAAATAAATGTGCCAACATTAACAAACTTCAAACCACGTTGATTGCCCATCACAACTAGGCACTCGTCTTGGTGTTATTGTATATTTTCTAGAGGATATGTGCTGATGTCGTAAGAATAAATTATGGGCAGTCTACGTGGAAGCGATGGTACAACATGTGTTAGATCACAAGAAGAAGCGCGCTTACACAAAGGAGGAGCTGCGGGTTGGGGCGCAGCGGTAGCGGCGGCGGGCGCGATAGGCGCTGCCTGCGTCACCACCGGCGGTTGTGTCATCGCCGCCAGCGCAGCCAGATTTTGCACTGACACCGGCGCAAGCAAGCCACCCAACTGCTCCCCTCCTACGCCCCCAACGCTGCTCACAGCACCCCCGCTCAGCCCTGCGCCATTGAAACCGATATCCTGATAGTTAACACCTAAGAGACAAACGGAAAACAAAAACAAGCGTAAATCAAAAATAAAAAGAAAACAAAACAATGATGTTTTAATTACGTGGAAAATGAAAGTAGAAACATAGGAAGCTCAGTAGAAAATTAGAACGAAACCAAGGTTTTTTATATGTAACGAACTCATAGACCGGTTCGAAAACGAACTATTATTTGTATAATGAAAACAGATATCATTGTTTTGAAAAGTAATAATATGGGTTCTAAACTCAACGACGTAATTGTTAATTTCCTGTAATTACTGCTTCCATTAGAGTAAAACTGAAAATTGCTAAATAGGTGTGGGTCGATACGAGCTTCCTTGTTAATAAAAATGAGATGGTTTTAAATATTTTGTTTCAGTGATATGTTAGTGGTGAGGTGTGAAATGTAGAATGGTATTCTGGAAAACAAGGGCCACCGAGATTTGTGCTCTCAAATTCACGGAAATGTAAACAATGTATAAGATTGTTTTTTATTGAATTTCACCTTTTACCATCGTGATATTAATACATTTTTGTGAAAGAACTCCACTAGTTTGTTATAATTATTAATATAAAGATCGAATTAGCAGGTCGAAGAAATTCCACCGTGTCTGTTACTCTTAGATCTTAGGTACCGGCTGAGTGAGAAGGTTCATAACTTTCACCGAGGTATTGCTTATACAGCGTTGAAACCCGAAAAATCCCAATACAAATTTTAACTGCCCCCGTGCCGTGACTGCAGTGGTTCCGGGTTCGATTCCCGGGCCTGGAGAAATATTTGTATGGCCTACATTTATTTCTCTAGTGAGTTTGGGTGTAATTTGTGGTTATCTAGGTGTGTGTCTATGGCACCTGCGATACATGGTTTCTCTAGTGCGGGTCTATGAGTGTGTGACTTATTATTTATTTACTTATTTACAAAGATCTATAAGAATTTCGTCGGCCTATTGACTCTGTAGCTCAGTTGGCAGAGCCACGCTACAGCGTGGTCACAGTTTTAAATCCTGTCAGATCGAAGGCATTTTTCGTAGTGTTTGATCTTTGTATTAATAATTATAACAAAATGCATGAAGAGTTATGTCTTTAAGGACGCTAATTTTATCAAAGATAACTTTATACTAACTAACTGATTTGGTATGTATCATTTACAAGGAGTACTCTAGGATAGAGTCTCGTCTTAAGTTCAGAATAAAGAGGATCGATAATCGTCAGCCATTATTTGTCAAAATAAAAATAAATATAAAAAACTCAAATCTACTTAAAATAGGACAAATCAGCGCTTACAATAAATGTTACCTTGCAACAACGTGGACCCCTGACCCTGTAATAATTGTTGTTGTAGACCAACAGCCTGCAATTGTTGAAGCAATTGCAGTTGCGTGGCAGGGGACAGAGCGGCCTCACTTGCCAAGTAGGCTGTAGGTGCCACAGGAGCTGAAATGCCCCAAAGACTGGCCTGCATGGCCTGTAATTTCTTTTGCTCTTTCTCTTTTTGTGTATCAGCGAATTTCACAACTAACGGAGCCGAGCAGCCTTCCATTGTTTGACTGTGGTGTAGCGCCTGGAAAAGAGAATATAGTTTTATTATGTCGTATCGGTGAAGTTCGTAAGTATTGTTTAGTTTTGCATATGTTAATAATTATATCTTTTTGATACGATCTTATGAGAGCGTGAGTTACATGTTGTATTTGACTTTTTGCTTTGCTACTGCCTCCGTGTACGAACGGTACAATGCTAGGTTGCCACGCAGCCAGTGGTCCCGGTTCGATTCCCATGGTAAGAAATATTTTTATGGCTTACATTTATTTCTCTTATGATTTTGGATGTAATTTGTGGTTTTGTATGTGTGTGTACATGGCACCCCCGATATAGGGTAAGAGGGAAACTCTATCTATACTTAAAAAGTTTACGCTATAGTGTAAAAGTGGGTACTCTTTTCAATCTTCTTTTGGTCGCTTTAATTGTATATACGACATCTTTAAAAAACCTGCATGTCTCAGAAGGTCCAATTTTTTTCTAACTTTTCGAAGGCATACGAAGTTTTTGATCCGTATTTATACACTCCCTTGTGCAGGGCAATGAGTGTGTGCGTTATTATCATTACATGTTTAATGTGTTTGGTTCATATGACGGAAATGGGCTGGACTATTTAAAAAAAATCTTAGTAGTTTTGTACTGATCCCTCTGCTCTGTTTTTCCAGCTTTATGAACTGATGTCATTTTACCTTGCTTTTGTAAAGAAGATTAAAGCCTTTTTCCGCGCATGAATTAGACTAAATGCCTTGCTTGAATCTTTTATACGGGTACACAATCTAATTAACCCTCTATTGTTGGTTTAAACCTTTTTCTTTGCTTCACTTGTTTACTTTGCTTCGTTTAGATCTTATTAGTTGATTCTCACATTTTGGCGAGTAAGTTATTTTATCTCTTGTTGAATGTAAACACGTCCTCAGATGCTTTTTATCCTTTTTTAATTTGCAATTGAACTAATAATAGTTACGTGTAATACAAATAATAAAAATTTCACGAATATTTTTTTTATAATATCATTGATGGGACGAACAAGTCGTACGCCTGATGGTAAGTTACACGCCTGTCCATAACAGTTGCCGTGCCACTCAGAGCTTTAAATCGCAAAGATCTGAGGGGCACTGCCACTGCGTCACACTGAGGCACAAGTTGACAAGTCCCATGTACCTGTAATTTCGCCAGCACTCTTAACCCTTCAAAACCGGAACGCAGTAATGATCTCATTACTTTTTAGCGGCAGATATAGGTACCTCCCCTTCACACTCTTTTAAGAGCTCTACTGCTGCTAAAAATATAAACTTATCTATTATATAGAGCAAAATTGCATCTAGATCCACATTTATTCCTGCAGATGGAGTCGGTTAATTGTAATCAAAGAAATAAAATATATAAATAATCAAAGCAATTTCCCGAGATAGTTTTATAAGATATTTTTTGTTAATTCCCTTATTTATTACGCTTTTAAAAGGAACAATGCTCAAAAGGAGACTCCTATAACTAGTATTGTTAAATGTTAACTGTTAAAGAAATAAAGTATATTATTATTACTTTGTCAAATACCGTTTTAATCTGTCTAATTTACCTAATGTATTAAAGTTTTATTCTAAACGTTTTGTGACTTTAATTTCGTGGTTAATAAATTATGTTTTCCGTTAAAATATTTTTTTATTCATGCATTTTATACGGGTTTGCACCCTGAATAGATAGTAGGAATTTTCCTACGTCATTTTAGTGTATTTTTTATTCCTACTTAATCTTTCTTAGATTCTACTTTTTCAATTAAATCTAATTATTATTTTTAAGTTTTATTGAATGTCACGATGTTTGAACATCATGACAAATTATTTTTATCTACACACATCATAAACCCTCTATGATGT